GGCGTCAGCAGCATTGCTGCGGAGCCTCCAGCCTTCCGCCAAAGTTAATTCCTGATCAGTCGATTCCCAGAAGTTGCCACAGTAACCCAGAGTCAAAGAGAGGTGCTGTTCAGCCGGCCAGCTGTAAACGGTGGGTGGGGGGGTTAACTCACCTGATCGAAGTGCAGTCCTACAATGACGTAGGGCTTCTCTGCCTGCTTGTAGACCATCTCCAGGAAATCCACATGGCCGATGTCTGAGGAGATCCAGTTAAGGTTGCTTTACCCAGGACCGAGATATGAGCCTGCTAACCCCCCAACCAGAGGGGGGCGCTGTGAGCAAAGCCAGCCACGTCCTGTCAGGCTCCTTTGTCACACCACGGATCAGAGAGATCACTGCTGCAGCCGAGTGGCCAGCAGAGGGGGCTAGTGCAACAGTCATAGAGGCTCTTAGCTCCCTTACCTATATACGTCATAGTTCATCATAGAACTACTGTGTCATCAGTCACCAGCTAAAGGTACCACAGCAATCCTCCCTCCCAAACCCACAAAGGCAGCTCATTCAGCCCCCCCAGCGCCTGCCAAAGGGTACGGAAGAGGTCAAAGGCCCCAGCCACGTAGATGATGGTGTCGTCTGGCTGTGGCTCCTTCCCCGAGGCGAACTGGATGATCTTCTGGGACGTCTGGAGGAACTGGGACACCCCCGTCCAAGGACTGTGGCCTTTGGGCCCCTGCAATGACGCCACAGATCAGACACGGCTACACCTCACCGAAATGTCGGAAATGTTACATGTCTGAATTCCCGCCATCCCCTGTGGCTCAGTATGTGGTCCCTGACGATCACCTGCACAGTGACGGCGAGGAGCTCATCACACCAGCTTCCCCCTGCACATTCACCCCCCCCCCACTCATACATCACCTTCACAGTAACAAACTCACTCAGGCCTCCTCGGGCTGGTTCACAAAACCCAAACGAAACCTTCCTTTCACTGCAGCACCTGACCGGTTTGAGATGCTGAGAGCTGATGCACAGTGTTCTGCTGCAGGCTGCCTTAATGCCGTGCGCTAATCCTACAGCTGTTTGCTCGACTTTCTCTCCTGCTTTGTGCCAGGTGACAGGGAAATTTAGCAGCTCTTCTTACGCCACCATGTGGTCAGTCAATGCAATTACTTTTTTCAAATCACCAAGTATCAATTCCCAGCAAGTCATTTAAATCTCCCATTTAGCAACAGATCCTGGAACGCTAAACCACCCTTATTAAGAGAGGCTTCCATTCTAATTTCTTTATCCTCCTGAGGTCCAGCAATTCATCTCTGTCCCATGTAGAGGACATTGTGTTTTTGCTCATATCTCTCATACTGCATATGCCACTCTGTATATTCCGGTTGTTTCTTAAAGAGGACAGTTAGAGCTTTAAGATGACGTCATGTGACCTTGCCAACCTCCTCTTCCTGTCAATCAATATGATTTCCTGTTTTTAAATGATCTTTTTTCTCCCCCGGATCCCAAGAGACTACGATAGTCTTTCTAATCCGAAAACCCATTTTATGCCAATTACAACTATATCTGTGTGCACCTTAAATGTTTAAGACAGGGCCAGCCTGTGTACATAGCCTTCTCAAACACCCACCGTCTGCCCTGCTGTTTTTACCCTGTCGCCCAGTTTGTTCCCCCCCCCCAAACTCCATCTGGAATGTTCTGCAGCGGAATCCTGTCATCAGTAACTCCACCTGTGATTGTTGTTCCGTTTCACACTCGGACACAAAGGCAGTTTTAACACGCCCTCCACGGCTGCCCTACAGCGCCGCCCTACAGGACTGCGCTCCACAGAGACTCCTTTGTGCTTGGGCTCTGGCAGGAGCAGCCTGCCCCCCTGCCAGCCTCTGCCCCACCCCCAGGTGGTAATTCAACACGTTACCAAAGCCAATGTGGGCAGCGAAGCTTCTCGTCACTGTCAACACCGTTTAATCAAGGAAATAATATTCGCAAGCTCAGCCAGAGAGGCTCATAGCAGGTCACCATAGACCCCAGAGCCAAACAAACCGGCCCTCCCCCCACAGCTGGGACATAGGAGGACTGGGGGGGGGGGGGGGGCTCAAAATGGGGCTCATTTTGCCTGTGTTCCGGAAAATACTCTAGTTTAGCTCACCTTTCCAAAGTTGTCTGTGTGCTGCTGGTAATCTGAATTGTCCTTTAAAAAGAAAAGAAAAAAAAAGTTCAGAATCAGAAAACTCACACAAATATAGTTTAAACATTTTTAAACCAGACTTAGCATTACAGACGAGCAGCAATGTGAAGAGCAGACAGAGCAGGCAGAAATAATCAAACACAGAGAAATGTATGTCACTCACAATGTTGCTGTGGTGGGCTTTGGTCAACAGCAGCATCCGTCCCACCAGGTCTGTGGTGGACACGCCCTGCGTTCGCCGGCACTCCCTGAAAGATGCAGGAGGCCCTGCCCCTTAGCCTGGTGACACAACCTGCCACGCAATGCTCTACAAGTACTCATTAACAGTACTCATTAACAGTACTCATTAATAATACTCATTAACAGTACTCATTAACAGTACTCATTAACAGTACTCGTTAACAGTACTCGTTAACAGTACTCATTAACAGGCCACAAACGACACGCAGGTGGCCCGTTAGCAAATCAAAACGAACTTCGGTGTTTCCCACTTGAGCAAGCGCATGGCTCAAACTTTAAAATGCAGTATTTAACTTCGAAAATCGAGTGAGTGTTCTTTCAGCGAAGATCCATTCTTAATGGCCAGCCCCGCCCTCATACCTATATCTGCCTGACTTTTTCACTTCCTCGTATGTGTCCTTTCCGTCCACCGTAAGTGTGATGTCATCTGCAAGCAACCATCCACAGGTAAGACCAGTCAGACCATGTGTACTCCCATAATGACATAACATTCCATAATACAGCACCATGACATAAAATGTAATGTAAAGAATGATATTTATCTATTTAGAAATTTCCTTGTTTTCCATGAAAACATACACAAAATGAGACTCAACAGGAAATATAGCTAAATAAATAGGAAATAGTCACTGATAAAATTAGAAATAATCACTTTTGAAATTAAAATAAAGAACACCATTATTAAGCTCTACTTTTGTCAGAGTCCTCCATTTGCAGCAATTACTGCCTTGTAGACCTTGTAGATGTCAGATTGTTGAGGTAATCTGATGCGATTTCACCCCATGCTTCCGGAAGCATCTTCCACAAGTTAGATTGGCTTGATGGACACTTCTTATGTACCATTCGGTCAAGCTGCTCCCATAACAGCTCAATAGAGCTGAGATCAGATGACTGTGCTGGTCACTCCATTATACACAGAATATCAGCTGACTGCTTCCTCCCTAAATAGTCCTTGCATAGTTTTGAGCTGTGTTTGGGTCAGTGTCCTGTTGTAGGATGAAACTGGCTCCGATTAATCTCCATCCACAGGGTGTGGCATGGCGTTGCAGAATGGAGTGACAGCCTTCCTTCTTCAAGATCCCTCTAACCTGTACAAACCTCCCACTTTACCGTCACCAAAGCAGCCGCAGACCATCACATTGCCTCCACCATCCTGCGTCTTTTCATTTGATCTGCGTCTCACAAACGTTCTTCTTTGTGCCCCGAACACCTCAAAGGTTCGTCTACCCATAGCACTGTTTTCCCCAGTCTTCCTCTGTCCAGTGTCTGTGTTCATTTGCCATCTCAGTCTTTTCTTTTTATTGGTCATTCTGAGATTTTTCTTTGCAATTCTGCCTAGATGGCCAGCATGCCGGAGCCGCCTCTACACTGTTGACGTTGAGACTGGTCTTTTGCGGGTGAAGCTGCCAGCTGAAGACCTATGAGCTATGAGGCGCCGGTCTGTCAAACTACACACTCTGATATATTTATCCTCAGTTACTCAGTTTCTATTGTGGTTAGAGCCCGTTTGCGCTGCTCTGTGAAGGGAGTGATACACAGCATTGTATGAGATCTTCAGTTTCCTGCCAATTTCTCGCATGGAATAGCCTTCATTTCTCAGAACAAGAAGACTGACGAGTGTCGGAAAAAAGTTCTTTGTTTCTGACCATTTTGAGCTCGTTATCAAACCCACAATTGCTGATGCTCCAGATACTCAACTAGTCCAAAGGAGGCCAGTCTTATTGCTTCTTTAATCAGCACAACACTTTTCATCTTTCTTCATAATTGCAAAAGGGTTTCTAATGATCAATTGTCCTTTTAAAATTATAAACTTGCATTAGCAAACACAGCATTCCACTGGAAGACAGGACTAATTGTTGCTGATAATGAGCCTCTGTACACCTATGTAGATTGCATTACAAACAGCCAATTCCAGCTATGATAGTCTTTTACAACATTACCAATGTCTACATAGTATTTCTGATAAATCTGATGTTATTTTAATGGAGAAAAACTTTTTTTCAAAAGCAAAGGAATTTCTAAGTGACCCCAAACTTTTGAATGGTAGTGCACCTTTTTGAGAAAGTGGGGTCTGAAGCCATTGGGGGCTTAAGGGTCTAACTCAGGGGCCCAGCAGTGACGTCACTCTGCCGACCCCAGGATTAAAAATGGTGACTTTCCTATCACAGATATTGTGTCCCAAACCCCTGAGCCACAGACTGACCCTTTTAAGCGCTACTTGCTTACTGAGCACAGATTTACCGGCCCACCCCCAGGTCATGTGACCACTGGCCACAGCCCCTCCCTCACCTCCATGGACACAGAAGTCGCAGTTGTACTTGTCGAGTGTCTCCAGCGTGGTGACGTACGGCGCGCCCTCCACGATCTCGTCCACCCACTTGATGGCGCGCACCAACCTGTAGCGCTCCTCCTGCGTGAACACGGGGGGGCCCTTGTGCTTCGAGATCTCTTCTGTGGGGGGTGGGTGAGGAGGGAGGTGAGATGGAAGGGAAGGCGTGTGTCTGTGTGTGGGTGCGTACCCTTTTTTGTAGGTCAAAATGCATGCTTATCTTTTTAACATTAACCTATCCCAGGGTGCAGTGACACAGGGCTAGCCTAGCCTAGGGTGCAGTGAGACATGGCTAGCCAAGCCCAGAGCACAATGAGACAGGGCTAGCCTATCCCAGGGTGCAGTGACACAGGACTAGTCTATCCCACGGTGCAGTGACACAGGACTAGCCTAGCCTAGGGTGCAGTGAGACATAGCTAGCCAAGCCCAGAGCACAATGAGACAGGGCTAGCCTATCCCAGGGTGCAGTGACACAGGGCTAGCCTATCCCAAAGCGCAGTGACACAGGGCTAGCCTATCCCAGGGTGCAGTGACACAGGGGTAACCTAGCCCAGATCGCAGTGAGACAATGCTACCCTATCCCAGGGTGCAGTGAGACAGGGCTACCCTATCCCAGGATGCAGTGAGACAGGGCTAGCCTATCCCAGGATGCAGTGAGACAGGGCTAGCCTATCCCAGGATTCAGTGAGACAGGGCTAGCTAAGCCCAGAGTGCAGTGACACAGGGCTAGCCTATCCCAGAGCGCAGTGACACAGGGCTAGCCAAAGCCAGAGTGCAGTGACACAGGGCTAGCCTATCCCAGGGTGCAGTGACACNGGCTAGCCAAAGCCAGAGTGCAGTGACACAGGGCTAGCCTATCCCAGGGTGCAGTGACACAGGGCTAGCCTACCCCAGGGTGCAGTGAGACAGGGTTATGGTAGTCATTTTTCAGCCCTCCATACAGAACAAGTCATAGCAGGGACTGACCCGCCCTGGATTCTCACCATCAGTGTGAACTCCAACAACAAGGTAGTCGCCCATGGCCTTGGCCTGCCGCATCTGGTTGGAGTGTCCATAGTGCACCATGTCGTAACTGGAAAACATGAGCAGCACCACAGTGGTGGATGAGACAGAAAAGAATGAGGGGGCACAGAGGCAGAGTGTTGCAAACAGGGCCCCCAGAAAAGCAACGTGTGGCAAACAGGGCCCCCATAAAAGCAACGTGTGGCAAACAGGGCCCCCATAAAAGCAACGTGTGGCAAACAGGGCCCCAAGAAAAGCTGAGCTAAACATGCTGCCTTTACACATCTATTATTAATATGACACCGTTCGCTATAAGGACGACAAGCCAACGTGTTTAGCACAGGAACCTCACAGATTAGCAACAGCCCCACTGCTTAGCACAACTAAGTTTAGCTAGCGAGGGAGGGAGGGGGGAGGGGAGAGAGAAAGAGAGAAAGAGGAGAGAAAGAGAGAGAGAGAATCTGGCCTGGTGTCATAGAGGGAGACCAAGAGGGAGACATAGAGGCAGACAGCGAGGCAGGCAGACAGCGAGGCCGGCAGACAGCGAGGCAGGCAGACAGCGAGGCAGGCAGACAGCGAGGCAGGCAGACAGCGAGGCAGGCAGACAGAGAGCAGCACATCGACTTCCTGAACATGGGGCTACATCAGCAGCAACAAAAAAAATACGGGTTAAGGCATGTTTTTAAAATGATGTCCCCGGGAGGTAACGACAGGAAACCCTTTCACAGGACTGACCCCTCTGGGTGTGCGCTTGTATGTGGAGGTGTTGACAAAAACAAACTCTTGAGTCTTGTGTCTTAAACAGTGGGGCCATTAGCTGGTGCAGCTCCCAAACACCCACCCCTCCGACGGCGAGTTGGCCTAGCGGCTCAGGTGTGCCCCCCAGATCCAGGGCGACGGCACAAGCATGGCGTCTGTGTACCCGGATACGAGCCGGGCCAAGATCCATCATCCTGCCCTCATTGTGACCACAGACCACCAAGGACACAGCCTCCAGCCCGATAGACACCCACGTTTTAGAATGGTTAGCCATTTACAAAACTCTGACCCGTTTGGAACACAATGATATCATTAACACATGGGTCACATGACTGGCAGAGACACCCTATCAGAGAGCAGTGCAGATTATACTGTTACAGATGTCCTACTACCGTCTCCTTCAAAGGGATCCAGAATCTGTGTTCAGTTCTCCCAAAACTGACAACTTAAGCGTCAGTTCACTACTGTGAAGAACTTCGAAGAAACTTGTCTGAAAATGTTGTATATAAAAAAAACAGTTCATAAAGGAAAATAGGATTCCTGAAATACCAGGCTGAGAGTGACCGTGACATCACCGTCGCTGAAAGGCTGTAGGCAGTATACCGCGCCAGCGGTTCGCGATGCGCCCGATCCAGCCAGGCTCCAGAGGCCCAGAAGCTCAGCCCGTCAGGTTCTCTGAACAGATAAGCCTCTGGTCTGCACTCCCCTAGGGGCAGACCTGCCATGATGGAGGAGGTATGCAGGAAACCCCCCCCCCCCCCCCACATCACAACAGCACACCATCACAACCGAAACTAATAAAACTAGGGGCTGACTTTCTGTTTCTTCTTTTGCTATGGATTCATTATCATTGTTCTGCTTCCTCTGGGTTAAAGCTTAAGGCTTAGGGGTATAAAAGTAAACAGTGGGCCGGTGAGTAAAGATCAGAGGCAGAGGAGCACGAATTTCCTGACAGTTCTGTGGGTAAAAGAGCCGTTACCATAGCAGTCAAATCCTGTAATCCAGTGTAATCTGTCCACCCATAATCAAAACCTCCAGGCCAAACGGGAGCAGCCTGTCCCAGAATGACCGTCGTCGGCGCCTCTCCCTGTACCCAGACGCAGGCATCACTGTGGGTCTCGGCTCACTGCAGAGCCCACCTCGCCGTCCCCAGCAGCCGCACAGGATCAGCGTCTGCAGCTGGAGGGCAGGCAGCGACGACACGCCACACCCAAACCGTTTCTTCTTCATTTAACTCAGTATGACTCTTGATTTCCAGGCTTGTCGGCATGCAAAGGCATCGATAAGATAAAACTTTATTGTCATTGTGTCTACAGCAAAATTTAATGTAACAACCCGCAGACAGAAAAACAGCAGTAGGTACGAAGACAAGTCGTACAAAACACAACAGCCTGTGTTCAGATAGCGGAACAGTGCAAAGACACTAGAGTGGTTTTTGTTCCATGCCAGACACATAGTGCTTTATTCCTACTGCTGATCTGGGTTCAGTGTTACAGGACATTACACTCTATCTAATGTCTAACCAAATGCCAGCAACAGGGGCAGATTAATGCATGAGCTATAAACGTCCAGGCCCCGCCCAGCCTCGGGAAAATAGAACGGCTGGTTAAATCAGCAACACCTGAGTGTCCATGCTGATGTAAGCCTAGGGCCCCCACATAAATTAATCCACCCCCGGCCAACGACTGGCCCCGTCCTGCATAATACGTATCTGAACCAAATTCCCACCCGCACGTTTGACTGGTTAATCAGAGACACACTGACATTTACAGGGCGCCATCTGTGTCCCATTTAAACCAGAACAGGACGAGACGCTGGCCCCCTGGGGCACAGGGGCAGGAAAGCAGCCCTTAAAACAGGAGATGGAGTAACTGTGCACATTTCAGTGGGATCTGCCATTTAAACAATGTCAAGGTTACCTAAGGGTCATTTATATAAGCAAGAAATGATTTACATTGTAGTGCTCACTACATTTTAGATGGGAATGTATTGTAATGTCTGCCAGCTCTTGTCCTAACCCCGCGGACCGACGTTTACACTGTAATTTCCTTACTCCTGTTATCTAGTTAACCCTTGATGTATGGCACATTATACTGTCATTCTCTCGTTACACTGTCATTCCTGTAAAACATGGATAACTTGGGATCTGATGCATTAATGATAATAGCCAAGGGGACGGTGTATGAAGAACAGTAAGTAAAAGTGAAAGTGATATAACCACATAGATAAGTTTATTTTAAGTTAGTTCACGCTGCTGTCAGTTAACCGAAAACAGGTTGGGATGAATGGAGGATGAAGCAATACTTCCAGAAAGTTCACCGGTAACACCTCCCCTAACATCTGCCCAGGGGGCACGAAGGTGTCCATCTCAGCTCACCTTTCTCAGCTCAGGCTTACCTCCAAGCCCCATGGGCTATCCGAATCAGAGCGATCACTGCGTATGTCACACTACTCACCAGCCATCACACCACACCCGGACGGTACGCTTTCGCTTCTCCGGGCTGCGGCCGATGCCGCCTCTCTCCGGCTCCGCGTCTTTCCCCGGTTCGCTCGTCGCGTGGTGACCGTTCTTGATCATTGTCTCGGATTAATTTATAAACGTTGGATATCTTAAGCAAGATGCTTAAAACAGCTACAAATAAATATAGTGATACAATGTGATGACTTGCGGAGAGGACCTGAGGAGGGCGTTAACGATGAGCGCTCCGTTCGCGATATGCCGGATGCGGCTTAGACAAAGTGACACTTCAGCACCGCGGAGCAGCGGCAGCCCTTCCTCCCGGAAATTACGTCATGGAGTCTAATCGAACGATGAAGTCGCTGTGGGCGGTGCCATGTCGTCAGCCCACCCACGCGGACGCTTCAACCTTCGTCACGTGAGTAGTATGGGACTTGTTAATATTTTTCTGTGTTTATAAACGGTTGCTCTCTTTAATGGACGCTTTTATGTTGATCTAAACTTGTAAATGCTGTTCATGCAGCACGCGTAAGTTGCGGTGCAAAATACTGGAGTGAAACATGTCTTTGCATAGACCATATAATAAATATATCAAATAAAATTATTATTATAATGGTTGAAAGTTCAAGTCTCTGTGTGTCTTTGCATGTTCTCCCAATGGAGTAGAATCACTCCCGGCATTCACGGGATTTGGACCAGCAACCTTCCAGTTACTGGCACAGATCCCTAGCCTCAGATCCACCACTCCGTCCACGGAAGATAGTTACACCCAAAATCCAGCTGGTGCCTCTATGGGAATCTGTTAGTCACCTCATTCTGCTCCTTGTTGATAGTCAGGCCTCTTTTATAACTGACAAATAAAAATCTAATTTCCCTTCAGCCAAATACAATACAATTTTCCTTAGCAACTGTAATTGTGATCGAATTACTAAATAGTCCTCCTGGTTTATATAATTGTTTTCTCATCCAGCTCCTCTCTATTTTGCTCTCGCACGTATTGTTGAATATTGCGGTTGATGTACTGAAGTAGTAGTGCAGGGCTTTTCCTGGGGTTCAAAGCAGCGTCACCAGTTTGTTAGACTACGTCCTGTAATGGAAGCACCCAGAAACAAAGTAAAACAAAGACTTTTATTACAATCAGCACATAAAAACCTTAAGAGGTTAGACCTGGGTCCTTGTCCATCCACCGGTCACAGTGCCTGCGGACTATACAAATAATCCAAATTATGAATACCCATTCAAACAGGATGGGGTCTACAAAATGCCAAGAGCAGCCGCGTAAGCGAGATTAGCCGAAACATTAGCGACAGAGACTGTGCAGGCAGGGGGCGACCTCGCAAACGCCAAACCCCGGCATCACAGTCCCGGATCCCCTGAGAGTACGGAGGAACATTCGCAAGTATGCGCGATCCGGACCGGTCCGCGATTTTGCCAGGAGACGGACAGGAACACTGAAGAGTTTAACAATGCATCACCCTGAAATCACTGTACGACATTCATCAGATGCTTAAATACCCTTAAACACCCTAACCCGCAAACATTAACATACATCATGCCGTTATACCGTTATTTACATGGCTGCAGAGTAGCACAGGCCTAATGCCACACTCTGAGGTATAACAGCAGATGGGAAATCTCCGGACCCACATGCTTGGGTCACAAGTCTGGACCTTTTACACCAGTGGTTCTGAACCCGATCCTTGGGGATCCCCAGATACTTCCTCACAGCTCTGAGGGCACCTGAACCAAACAATCAGGAGCTGAGAATCCCTGGTACAGGGATGGGAGGGAGCACAGGTGCGGACTGGCTGGGGATCCCCGCGGACTGGCTGGGGAAACACCGTCTTACAGCAAACCTCCAGAACCACCCTACTAGACATTTACACTCCATCACCGTGTTTCTGAATAAGGCCAAAATAGGTCAGCAGCTTAAAAAAAAAAAACACTTTTTATATTGTTCAAGCAAACACAGAGAACCCAGTAAAACATTATATATACACCCTGCTAATTTGCACCAACTTCTGGAGATATGTAAACATTTAAACTACCAGCCATATCGCATGTTTTTAACACTTTCTTTTCACTGTTGACTTTGTGAATAGAAATATCGACCCAGTGAAGTTGCTTATTGCTCTGACTAAATACCTGAGGACAGAGTAAGGTGCAAACAGGTTAAATTCAATAAATAGTAACGTTACCCATCTACCAAACCAAAGGTCCTTTCAGACAGTTAATTAGCACCACATGAAACTGAGACTGGATCCTCAATAAATACTTTCTGGTAAAATCTGCCACGCCTGGCTCATTCAGGCTGTTGTTTTCTTCTTCTTCCTTCCCTTGGAATAACCTCGTCCGAACCATCCACCCTGGATGGGGGCTTCCGGACATGGCCCCTCGGTGCCTGTCATTCTCTCCTCCAGCCCTGTAGATGGCGATATCACTTTACGAGTGTGGCTGTTTTCTTCTCCAGGTCTCAGCGGTGTGGCCAAGCTGAAAATGGGGTCTTCTGCTCTGTTGTAGGAAAGAAACTATAAATTGTACAAAAAATGTTCAACAAACTGCCAAACAAACAGACCAAACCTCAAATAGGAGGTCGTGCTCAACCAACCCACACACAACAAAGGCTCTTACTTGACGTAGGAAGGAACCTGGATGTCCAACTCCTCCATCAGAAGACGCATGACATCGTCACACTTCCCATGGATTTTAAGGGTTGCCAGGTCATCCTTTGGTGTCCACTAAAAAAACACACGCACTTCAAATTAAACATGGCAGTATCCATGACAGAAAAAAGATGAATGACAGGAACGTCTCGTGCCTGCTGTTTCCTCAGCGACACTGACGCTCAGGATTACAGATGCAGGGCACAGATGGCTTCGCATCGCTCTGTGAGGGAGACCCTCAGGCGCACTAAAGCCTACCTGCAGGTTGACTATGTAAAGCTTCGGCCTCCTGTTGGCTGGCCTGTTCATGCACCACAGGCAGGAGTATTTCCTGAGCACCTGCGGGGGAGGGGGCGGAGGGAGAAAGGCCTGATTCGTTACTCCCCAGTCTGCATGACACACAAAGCATTCTGAGTTATTTCTATCATGCATCAGCAGCTAAGCCACCAGCTTTTATCCAAAGCTTATGTCTTTCCACAATATTTAATATCCAGATCATTTACGGTAGTTCTAGGAAGGGTATTCTGTTTGACCTTTGAATGAACTGACATCCAAAGGTCAAACAGAATGCCCTCCTAGGATTTAATGGGACCATACCCCCTGCTGGCTGGTATGTGTGGCGCATCCCACCTTGAGGCTGGAGCCCAGGCAGAGGATGACGTCGGCAGCGCTGGCGGCCCTGACGGCCCCCTCCCAGTTCAGCGGCTGCTCCAGGGTGCCGCGCTCCCCGAAATGCACGATGGTGTCACACAGCTCCCCTCCGCAGTGCCCGCAGAGCCTGGCCGTGCCGTGCCGGTGCAGAGCGGTCCGCTCCGTCACGTCGAACAGCCGGACCCACTCCCGCGCCGGGGAGCAGGAGGTGCACACCTGCGGCGGGGGAGAGCAGACGCGGGTAACCATGGCGACCGTACACATGCACCGAGAGCGTTTAATGACACACGATGGCAATGAGAGGAAGTGGGGGTTTGTGGAATAAACGCACATTTAAAAGTCACTGCTCATTGGACTTTTCCTGACGGAAAGCAGACACTGTGTGGTGCAGAATAATAGTGCGACTGCAGAAACGGATGAGGATGTAAAGGATGGTGGGAACAAACGGAATCCATCTTTTCTCTGCTCCTGAACAATCCATCCATCCACTATAGTGTGCAGGGGCGCATTGAGACTGCAGCTTGTCCCAAGCAGTAGTGGGCAGGAGAAAGGGGACAGGTGCCAAAGCATTTCACTATAACAGATTTTTTAAATATTTAATATTACAGATTAGCTGCAGAAGTCTGCAGCGCACGGTGGAAGGCAGCAATGAAAAGCGATTCCTCTGGTCTTGTTACGAAACGGGTCAGAAATGAGCCCTGGTGCCGTACGGCCTCCCGCACCATGGTAACCTGCCGGGAGGTGACCGCGGTGCTCACTATGGCAGCAGGAGACGGCAAAAAGCGCAGAGAGCCGGACGGCAGGGGCCACTCACCTCGATGAACATGTTGCCGTGGAGCTCAGACAGGACGCGTCTCGGCAGTCCGCTGCGCAGGTGCAGCCCGTCGCAGTTTTGAGACACCACATGCTGCACCTGAGACACACGCACGCAAAATACACACAAAATACACACAACATGCCTAAATCCCTGAGAAGCATATCCAAACAGATCCATAACAACGTCAAAGTCTCGGACGAGTTTCAAATCTCCCACAGCGACTCGTCCACTAGCATTCACCGTACTGAAACAGAATGTTCCAAACTTCCAAAAGTGGGCGTGTCCCAAAGGGGCTCCACCTCCATGACGGAACACTTAGCCAGCCAATCACGTGTGCTCACCAGCTTCTCCTCGTGCAGCATCCGGATGGCCATGTGTGTCAGTGTGGGCTCTGCCTCGCTCAGGTCCGACGTGCTGCCCGGGGAAAGGCGGCAGTTGGGTCACGCCTGGGAGCCCGTGTTCTGACCCGCTGCCAGGACGGCGAGTCCGGCCCCACTTACCTCACTGATTGGCCTTTCTGCAGCTGAGTCCACACGCCGTTTGGGCCTCGGTAGTCGGGGATTGAGGCCGCCTGCCACACACAGGAAAACCGCATCAGCATCTTCCATCAGACAGTTCTGACTGGACGGTTCTTATGGAATCATGGACAATACCGTGCTAATGCCCGCTCCTGTGTACACGATGAGGTTCCTGGCGCCGCGGACCGCCACCGCCAGCTGTGCCACTTTCCGCTGCAGGTCGTCCATGCCGTCAAATACCTGAAGGGACGACCCCAAAGTGACCATGCTTGACAGACGCAAGGGCCAGGGGGTACAGCTTCTGTTTTACCATCCCTGAACATCTGAAAGGCTTCCTGACCTCCTCCTGCTTCCTCTTCAGGATGTTCCGCCGCATCTGCCTCCTGCACAGCTCCCGCACAGTCTCGCTGTGCCTCTCCAACTCTGCCACATCCTCGGCCGTCCGCTCCCACTCCGACGTCTTCAGGATCCGCGACACCTGCACAGGGGGACGGGGAAAGGGGGGTGAACTTGGCCCAGGGTCTGATAGGGAGACAGACACAGACAGACAGACATACCGACACAGACAGACAGATGGAGGCAGAGGGACAAAGAGACAGACATTAAGACACAGAGATAAACAGGGACTCAGACACACAGGGATGCAGACAGACACAGATGGAGAGTCAGGGACACAGGCAGACAAACAGGGACAGAAACAGAGAGAGACACACAGAAACAGACAGATGGACAGAGACACAGACAGGGACAGACACAGACAGAGTGTCAGGGACACAGACAGGGACAGAGACAGACACAGACAAAGCGTCAAAGACAAAGACAGAGACAGACAATGTCAGGGACACAGACAGGGACAGAGACATACAAGGACACAGACAGGTATGGAAACAGACAGGGGCACAGGGACATAGTGACACAGGGACACAGACAGAAAGTGACAAAGGTACAGGCAGAAAGACACAGACAGACAGACAGGGATACCGACAGAGAGACAGACAGGGATACCGACAGAGAGACAGACAGGGATACCGACAGAGAGACAGACAGGGATACCGACAGAGAGACAGACAGGGATACCGACAGAGAGACAGACAGGGATACCGACAGAGAGACAGACAGGGATACCGACAGAGAGACAGACAGGGATACCGACAGAGAGACAGACAGGGATACCGACAGAGAGACAGACACTGCCCTATTCAGCACTGCTCTAGCTGCTTAATTAACATGATTGAGTGGAAGTACAGGTCCCACTTGCTTTCCATTTGGCCCAGTATCAGCGCCGTCTGCCGTACTGAGACACTGCAGTGTTACCCCGATGAAACCTCTACTTTATTTTTAGCAGTAATATACTCCACGGGAAGGAGACCCGCGACGCAGATCATAAAAGGAGCCGTGGATGATCGCCTTAAAACACGCCGCCCCGGCGCCGGTGCCCCGCTCCCCGACCTCACCAGCTTCAGCGTCCTCCGCTGGTCCTCCCGTTGCAGGATCTTAGCCCTCTCCTGCGCCTTCCTCTTGGCTCTGGACGAGAAGCTGCTCCCCGCAGACGACGAGTCCTCCATTCTTCCTGTTTGGGGACCGACGAGCACCGCGCACCGGCGTACGCGCAGCCGCAGTGCCGCTGTCTGTTCGAACGGCGCCCTCTGGTGGCTGTGAATCGGTGCGCTGGCTTGTGCGCAGACGCGAGGCCTCCCTGCATTTGGACAGACAGTGCCCCCTATCGATCTGAATCGGCGCGGTCACGCTGTCCTTCCTCGCGTGCGCGGCGAAATTAAGCTAATTCGGTGTCTGGCAGGACTGACGTTTAGAAACTTCTTCCAGGGGCAGAACATCGTTGTCTGGTCTCTGATTAGGTGTCTATTCTTCCTTTTCCTGTATTGTTCGGAAGTGATGAAGTTGGTTGGGCTCTTTTGTTGTGTTTTGTTATTGTTACAAGGAGCGCGACACTTCTCACCTGCAGATATTGAACAGGATTGATTCCGGTTGATTTCACACCGCAGTGGTACTATGGAAGGATCCATTTCGTGATTCAAACATGAATAGGTTCATCGTGCTAGTTATTTTTCTTTAAATCATTCTGAAATACAAGCGGGCTGCGCATGAAACAATGAGGTTGCTGTGGATTTATGGGTAAGCAGAAAATGGTAATTGAGTGGAAGTTTAAGTACTTTCGCACTCATCGATTACTCTAGACACTAGAAGTGCACAGGCCAAGCAGTACTCATGCTGCTTTAGTTAATCTGAGGAATGTGGTCCAAACTGCAGTCTCAGGACACCCACAGCTGTACCCCTGACCTGGACACCCACCTGACAGTGATCCTGACCGGAGCCCAGCAAAGGTCAAAACATGAAAATGTTTCTCTTTCAGCTACTCCAGTGAAAAGTTAGCTTTGAGTAAATGTGAATTCCTGATCACTGGGCTTCATTACCGCATACAGAAAGAAACTAAAGCACACACACACAATATAAAGACAAAGTTTTATTACTGAACACTTAAATATAAAAAAAATATTAAAAAGTAAATGCAGAAAATAATTTATCCGTCATATATTAGAAAGGTTCCAATTTTTGCAACAGATGAAAAAAAACTACTAATACATTAATATACACACAAAAACATTTTAGAAAGCGCATTTTTTAAAAAGTAACAAAAAGTTAAAAATAGTAAAATAAATGAAGCCCATATGATTAATAATGTGGCTTGGAGTCACTGTTTGTCACGGTCAGCTGTGGCACGAGAGGTCATGGCGCCCCCTGCTGGGGACACCAAAACTAGCATATTAGCATGTCCTGCTGCACTTTCAGCCAGACGGCTGCAGGTTCACCGTGGCCTGGGGCGCTGAGAGGCCCGTCTGCAGCCAGCCTTCACACCAGCCAGCCGCGGTCTCTCGACTGCCATTTTGTGTAGCCTGTGGGGAATGAACGTGAAGTTCGGGAGTTTTTAACTTTACATATTTATACAGCTGGCCATTCCACTGCAGTCAGGCAGATTAAGTGTCACGCTAAAGGCTACTAGAGCAGGCTGCCCCCGGGAACTGAAATGGAAAATGTAGGTTGTGAGTCGATGCCCTTAACTAAAAGAGGACCAGCTTGGAGCCTGGAGCCTCAGTCCCAGGCTACAGAGCAGTCAGACGGTGACGAATGTCCCGTGCATTATAACGTGTTACTTTCTGCCACGCAGCTGATGATCGATCTCCAGCTGGGACAGCAAACCACTCCAAATCGTTTCTGCTCACAGAGGAGGACAGCAGAGCACTAAGTTTGCCCCACAGAGCCATGATTAACGAGGCAGGCTGCGGGAAAATGCGCTCACACTGACAAAGATGTAGAGAAATAAAATCCTGCCTGCTGCTGGTTTTACCAAAAGACCGAACTACACTCACGCTGAGCTCCTCCTCCTCTCCAGGGACCTCCTGGTAGCCGCAGACAGGGAGGCCCCTCCTTTACCACGCTCTTGTCCATTTTCCTTAAAGGCCAAAGGGAATGTCACTGATTTAGCACAACAGTAGTAACCGAATTAAAGGCATGAACGGAGCAGAGAAGCTTCCGGAACACTGGGCATTTCCCAGATAGCCACCAGGGAGCTTGAAGCTGCCGGGGAAGTGTGAGCAGCACTGGCATTATGGACAAAGACTTCTAGGGGAACCTGAATGTATGTTTTTGGATGAAAACCTCTGCTTAGCAACTTAAAAGTGGGTTTCTGGTACCACCTAGTGGTGGAAAAGATAAATGCAGCCACCCAGAAACATACATTTATTCATCATTATTTCAGTGCAAAGTTTTCAATTGGAGAGCTGTCAGAGATCCAGGACGCGAGCGAGACCCATCCCCCTCCCACCCCCCGATCCCCAGTGCTTTACCCGACGTCTCAGCTCCCTCTCCCAGACCAGCGCCCGATCCCAGGAGATGATCTGCATCCGCTCCGCTGCTGAGGAGCTGAAGAAGACGTCGTAGATCTCATAGCGAGCGGAGCGCAGCTGGGGAGGAGGAGGGACAGATTCATTTTGTCATAATAAACTCATTATTACATCTTAGTGCATTTGTGTAATACAGCACACCAGCGACTCCACGCAGCACAGAGCAGCGGATCACAGCCCCAGTCCTGACAGCCACAGCTGACCATTTCATTCGTCTCTGAGTGACATCGCTGGAAATCACTGGAATTTACATTTATTTAGCAAATGCTTTTATCCAAAGCAGGGTCAGACAGTCGCTGGAGCAAAAGGAGGATAAGGGCCTCGTTCAGGGGCCCAAATGTGAAATAAATGTGCTGATGCTGGGATTTGAACCAGCGACCTTCCGACCAAAGACACAGCGTCCTCACCCGCTGAGCCACACGCCGGCCTCCAGCACGCAACCCCATCCGGCCTGTGGCTCGACAACTGCTGACTCGTACCTCTGGTGTGGCTGTAACCAAGTCAGGTTTGGTGCCGCTTTACCGTGAGTCACACCTTGACCAGGAAATCGGGGGTATTACAGAAAGGGGGAGGGGGGGGGGGCTGTGGTACCTGCAGTAAGACCCGCTTCTGTAACTCCAGGTCCTGTTCGCTATCAAACTCCTCTGTTTCTGCTGTCCGGGGCTGGAACGCCAACAGGAAGTGCCGAGAGTCCTGTGGTGGATTCGGGAGATTTCAGTAAATCCGCCGGAGTGGCCATTACTGCCAAAGTGACGAGGCACAGAGTGCGTTTTAAAAAATAAAAAAAAAAAGCCTTTTCCCAAAAGGGCCGCGGGAGCTGATGATGACATCGCTGTCAAGTGCGAAAGCTAAATTAGGCAGACACAAAGATAACTAGGAACCTGGCACGGTTTATCGGTCAATCCAGCAGCCAATCATTACATGCGCTTCATCATCCGCGCAGGGAAATTAGTAGCGCAGATTAATAGCACCGGCGACAGGCAATAAAAATGTAAATGGGGCTGAGTTGCGCTCATATCCCTGGCAGCCGGCACGGCGCCGCCGAGGTCACACAAGGTCACCTTGACGGTGCGCACCAGCCGGGCGACGTGCTCCGTGCGCAGCAGCCGCCGAGCGAGGTAGCCCTTGACGGCTGCGGCCACAAGGGGGCGCCAAGGAGAGCTGAGGCGGCAGGATATCTGTGGGGCAGGAAAAGACGAGTCAGACTGGTCTGGTGCCATGTGCACGGCAGGAGTGAGAGACAGCTGGGGCAGCAGCCCTGATCGCGAGGCATCAAGCCCCACCCACTGCCCTTAAACACAGTGTGGTTATAGGGAAAAACAAGGCTTAGAAACCTGGGGGGCGGGACTGCCAATCACTGCCAGGTTTAAACCAATCATTACCAATAAAATAAGCTGCCAGTATCAGCCACAGCGGGTTTCAAAGCCACGCCCCTCCCACCTCGTCGCTCTGCGGCGGTGGAGAGGAAATGTCTATGACAAGGTTACTCATCCTCCCCCTGTTAGACACTCAATATGCCCCAATCGATGTGCCCAGCGGGTCAGAGGACCAGGCCGCCTACGAGTTCCCGCTTATCTCTCCAGTACACTGGCAGCATTTTTAGGGCAAAAGAGACAGACCTAATTAGAGCTGTTAACCCAGACAATGGGAGAGAGCAGAACACACACACTTATTTAAGAGAAAGAAGAAAAACAGGAAAACAAGTAAAACGACAAGGGAACAAAAATACATGTGAACCCAAATCATGCACTGCGGGGGACCCGAGGACAGGGACACCCGGGGGCCCAGAGGTCGGCACACCCCCCCCATCGTGGAGACAGATGCCGGAGGCACTGGAAGCGGGCGCCGATCCTCTGTTTGGTGATGGGGGAGGGCAAGCCGAAAGACTTAACGCAGACACTCACGAATTAAACAAATTACACGCTCATTCTCCCAGTCAATTTTGCTGCCTAGTATGGCAACGCCAAGTCCACATCAGGGCCAGACTCCTGACGCGTCGATGGCAACAAGGGGGGAAAGAGCCTCCGTTTATAAAACAACTTCTGTTAATTATAGCTTTGTTAGCTGCATATATTAGAGGCTATAATTAATGGCGCAGGAACATTACCACAAGTACGACTCAAGGAGTAACATACGCCAGTAGGGCGCCCTTGGGAGAATGAGTCAGTGTAGGTTCACTTAGCCTATAGTGTTGTAGTTTAACACTATGGCTTCTTCAAGACTCATAAAACAAACAACATCAAAGCACTACAGCTAATTAAACCAATCATGCGAGGTTCATGCTGCTTCGCCGATTGCTGAATCCAAGGAGGTCAGCAGCCCGATTCCCCCTTTTACATCACAGGTCCCTTTAATCTCCGCCTGGTCACGGCTGCAGGCCCAATGGGAACGAAGCAGGGAGCTCCGCTCTGGTTTTGTGGCCGCGACCCCTGGCCCAGGTGCCGCCCCGCCCCCGTCTCTCACCTGCAGCTGCTCCCTCTCCTGCTCCTTAATTGGGGCCTCCACAAGCAGCTGGGTCTCCTTCGGCAGGAACCGTGCCGAAGTACCGGTCCTCACTGCGAAGACGCCCAAACACACAGGGTGAACTTCCCCGGAGAAGAACAGGCCCCACACACCCACACACAAGGCTCTTTATCCAGCTGGAAAAATCTTTGCTTGCTTGCAAGACAAGTCTGCTCATCAGGGGGTGACACAATATGGAGGTATTTGCGTGTAACTTCCAAAACAGGATGAGTACAGTGTTCTAAGGCAGCCTCCTACGCATGTCCTGCAGGCCAGAGTTAGGTGCACACCGTGGGCTTGTTACCTTTGGGGGTGCTGGAACGCGGCCCTCCCCAAGCTGCGCTGTGTGACGCCGGCGGTGTCCTGGGGGACTTCGTTTCCGCGGTGCACATGAGGAGTCTGCGTTTGGCTCGCGTCCCCGGACCTTGGCCCGCAGGCGAGCCCTGGTTCTGTGTCCGCGCCCCCGTCTCCTCACCCCACTGCCACAGGTTGGACGGCGTTTCCACGTCGTATGACCGATCGCTTGGGAAGCGGGAGTTGTCCGGCAGGGGCCGGTTGCTAGTGTCGGCCAGGACGGGACTCCTACGTGGAACCGCCACAGCGTCCCGGAACATCTCCGGCACTCGCATCTTCTGGGAGATGGATGTGATCTGACGTTTGGGCTGCCGATGCTCGGTCAGGCCCAGCAGGTCCCTGGGCGGTACCGCCCGCTCACCCGTGAGGTGGCTCCCATTAGCCCATGTTTGGCAAGTCGAACCTTCATCCAGGGTGGACTCCAAGTCAGTGATGAGGGCCTGCAGGCGGGACAGATTCATCTCCAGCTGGCTGATCTGCACAGCCTGGTTCACACCATCTTTTGTGTGACGCGACAGCCCAGCGTTGTCACTGACACTCAGGGTGGTGTGAGCAATGGGACCTCGGCCCTTTCCACAATGGACAGGACTCAAGCACAGCTGGGGAGTTGGAAATGTTGTAAACTTCTTACTGGTTGGCACTTGATTTGGCACGGTGCCATCAATCTTTGGCCCCTCACCGAGACCACAGGGCTCTGCGGAGGAGGACGTAGTGGGGAGGGGCTTTGATTGATCACTTGCTGGATCATCCCTGGCCATAGACCGCGTCAGATTATCTCCGACTAAGTCGTCAGGTTCAGGTGACTCCGAAGACAGAGCAGAAACTGCAGAAAGGGTGGCCACTCCCATATTTTTGGGGACATTCACTCGTCCGCAATCAAACACCTTTTCACTGCTTTCCAGGTTTGTCCCAACAGAGGACTGGACCTCTGGGGTTTCTGACAGAGTCTGGACCGGTGGCTGTTCCGCCACACTTACAGAAAATGGGTCAAACTGTGAAAATCGAACTTTGGCATGATTGGCTCTTCTCTCTTTACTTTTCCTGAGCTCATTTTTCTCCACTAGGGGGACCTCATTGTTCTCTTTGTCAGAAAGGTTCTGGGCCTCGTCCGTCTCCTGGGACCGATTCTTTGCCATCCTCAGCAGCCGCTGCCGCTGCCGGTACTCTTGGGACTGCTTCAAAAGATTCTGAAGGCTCATACGATACGGCACCTCGCACACACCAGGGTCTTCTGGTCCAGAACGAGCAGTGTCCAGATTGACCTCAGATGCCAGTGCAAACTCTTTCACTGTTCCTGTGCCTTCAGCCAAGCAGTCAGTGTCAAGCGGGATGAAACTCTCCCGGCTCCCTGCCTGACGTCCCTCCTTGCTTAGTTGGACAGCCTCCATTGCAGCAGCCGTATGGCTGGCGGCTTCCGTATTGTCGGAAGTGATGTAACCAGATGACAGAGAGTGCTGGCCGGTTTGGCACCGAGTCTCTGCGGTCTGATGTACGTCAGAACCGTGCACAAGCGCACAGCGGGTGTCAGGGACCAGAGACATCCTGTCGGTAAGGTCTGGACTGTCGGCAGCATCCAGAGTCACGGAAGAAATGGATGTCAGATGATGAAATGAGAACTCATCCCGTTTCCCATCATGCACCGGTTTAGCCGTGGAACACAAAGGCGGAGGAAAATCCCAGGTGGCTCTTCCTGTCCCAACAACGTCTGGCTCATTTTGAATGAACTCCTGAAGTGTTAGTGCCGTCCTCAGCTGATGGAAGAAACACCATAAAGGTATCACACCCAAAGCACAACATTAAGACAAGCAGTCAGCGATCCATCAAGCTGACAGGTGTGGTAAAGCCATCTACCTGCACACTGTCGAGGAGGGTCTGCACCTGGGACACCCTGGAGTCCGGTTGTGCTTCACCCCTCTGTCTCTGCAGCCTTGCGGCTTCCCCTCTGTACCCCCGCATTAGCTCCCTCTGCTGCTCGGTGAGCTAAAGAAACAATACAGGGGCAAACAGACCACACAATGACCCATCGATGGGCAGCCAATACAAGACCACCACTGGACCTCAGAAAAGGTATAACTATGTCCAGCAAAGACCTCATGGATGTGACAGCATGGAGTTGCTGAACACCTTTACTGTGGAGCTGGGGGGTGTGAGGTTAAGAGAGTGGTATACAAAATCTTTATGGGAACAAACAAGGTTAATCTTAATGACTATATTCCTCCCAAAGAAAAAGGAAACGATCTGGAAATCAGTCAGCAACTGAAAATAATTAAGTCTTGAAATTTAAACTTAACGGCGTTTGGTGGCTGTGGTTTCCAGCTTTGGTCAGCTGGCTGTCGTGAGAGTTTAGGTTCGAGATAACTCTGCACACATATGCACACGCGCTTACATGCATGTATTACCTTATCAATAGCCGGTTTGCAAACTATGCGAACGCTTTTGATGTAGCTAATTTCGGGTTATAATTGAGTCATATGGATATGCCCTAAGATGTCTCGTGTAAGCGCTGAGTGCCGGCAGATGCGCGCGAGCTGGCAGGCCCGCCGTAATACGTACCAGAGGCGGAAGGACGGCGACGCCGTGAAACCTGATGCAAGAGGAACCGCCGCCTACCGGCCGCCCGGCGGAGCGCGCGATGCCCCGCTCGCCGGCCGCCTCCACCAGCAGCGCCAAGCGGTGCCTCGCGAATGTCTCATACTCCTCCATTCCACGCGCTTAGCTTAGCTAACGCAGTTAGCCTACTAGCTGCCCACTCGGCCCTTCCTGATATTGCCTTTACGCCATACGTTTTCAGTATCTCCTTTAAAATAAAACATCATCCACATAAAAATATCAATAAATATAGATATTTAGCTATTTGGCTAACTAACTAGGCACTACATGGCTAAATAGTTATAAGCTTTCTCCGTCTGTCATGTTTGATAAGTGGCTCTATAGTCAAGCGTAATTCAGCGTAAACATAACAAAACCACACCGATCCGTCTGTGAGGCGCTCCGCTAGCCGTAAAGCTAACTAACAGCAGGAGGCTAGCCAAAAATAACCAGCGGTCAACACTCTGCCTAGGCTATAGTCTATGGCTGATAATACAGAAGCAGTTAATTAACTTTTTGCACTAATAAAAGTGCGATGTCCAACAAAAGAAAAGAAAATACCCAATTCCTAACTACAGAAACCATGCGCGGAGTTGCCTTATTGTTTACGTTTTACCCGCTTCCTCCGGAGTCTGACAGTTTGAAAGCCAGCGGGGCTGCGCTGTTTCCTGGTCTGGATTTGTAAAGACGGAGCTGGACTCGCTGGAATGCGACATCCAAAGGCGATGTTAAGCAAAAAAAGAGAAAAGAACAAAGGTATTAGTGAAGAAGTTTCGGTTTCACAAATATAACTGCATAACATATGTCTGGAATTATCAGGTGGCTGAAGTGTAAGTTATTTTGGTTATAGTCCACCGCAATCTTTACCTCATACTGAAAGGAGAAAAAAACCGACCTACAAATGCTGGTTAAAAATGAAAGTACCGCCATCTATAGACATAAATCACCTGTAGTTTTCCTTTTCAACGACCTGTTGTCATCTGTATTACACGGTAGGCAACTGTAACTGAATTATGGTCAGACAAACCCACAGATGTGGGAGAAAATATAGTACCGTCATCTGTGTATAAATGATCCTTAGCTCTTTGTTGTTCCCAAGAGTTTGCATTTCAGGAATAACATAGTTTTGTATGTCCTGGTCTCATCTGTACATTAACCCTGTACACAAAAAAAATACACAGAAATGAAGTGTATTGTATTATAGGTAATTCTTTGTCTGAACGATAATCTCAAACACTGCCCACATTATTAGAATAGCAACTTGGAAAAAAGACATGAAAGCAGGTAACCCTGTCTAGCAGGATAAACATCTTAGCTTATATGGAAACATAAGACACTATGTTTATGACGTCTTCACAGACAGCTAGTTAAGATGGGCATAGTATGAAAGCCTTTGAAAGGGTGTTTCTGAAAAACCTCAGACCCCATGTGGTGTAGGACAGGGGTGGCCACTCTTATCCGCAAAGGGCCAGGGGTGGCCACTCTTATCTGCAAAGGGCCAGGGGTGGCCACTCTTATCCGCAAAGGGCCGGTGTGTGTGCAGGTTTTTGGGATAACTGTCTGGTCAGCTGTTCAAACCCAGGTGTGAGGACTCTTCAGCCAATCAGTCCTCTAATTAGTAATCTAATTAGGGAGTTGCAGCGAAAAACCCACACACAGCGGCTCTTTGCGGATAAGATTGGCCATCCCTAGTGTAGGAGAAAGCCCTGTACCTACTCCATGGAGCATAGTCAAATCTGAACAAGCAAGGCAACATTGGGAGAGTCTTTCTTGATTTGCCCAGTGTGTTTAATGCCATCCAGACCCGTGTGCAGGGTGAGACCTTCAGAAGGATGTCGCTGGATGATGGCTTGATAGCCTGGATGACAATCTCACGTGCAGACCTCAGATTGTCTGCCCCATAACTGCACATTTGATGTGGTACTGTACTGCACAGGAGCACCCCAAGGTACAGTGCCCCTACCTGTTTCTGCTCACCCTCTATACCACAGACTTCCAATGCAACTTGGCTCATGCCACCTCCATAAGTTCTTCAGTTGGGGGATGCATCAGTGAAGGGAGGGAAGAGGAGTAGAGAAGTCTGGTGGAGAGCTTCATTGGAAGAAGAAACGCCTAGCTTAATGTCAGTAAGATCAAGAAGTTGATCGTGTACTTCAGGCGAATCGGGGAACCACTGACGGCTCTCATCATCCAGGGTGAGACTGTGGAGATGGTTCAGTGCCATAAGTACTTTGAAGTTTGCACATCAGCAACAGACCGGACTGGAGCAACAGCACAGATGGACTCTACAGGAAAGGGTAGAGTAAGGGTAGAGTAAACTGTTCTTCCTGAGGAGACTCAAGTTCTTTGGTGTGTGCAGCAAACTGCTGCACATGTTCTTCCAATCTGTTCTTTGCTGCTGTTTGCAGGAAGGCTGGACAAGTTGATTTAGAAAGCCAGCTCTATCACAGGGCTGAGGGTGGACACACCCAGAAGGGTGGTATCCAAACTACTCTCACTGAGATGAGAGGCCCGTTCAGCCTTAAGCTCAGCTCCCCAGGGTGCAAACGCATACGTTTCACACGCTGTTTTGCACCCAGAGGCATTCAGCTATTCGCTGCCCCCTCTTCCAGCAGCTCAGACACCAGCCAGTTAGAAGGAATTTCACAAACCCTCCATCTGTATTACTAACTGTATCTGCACCCCACCCTGGATATTTGTCTTCTGTTCACATCATTGCTGCCTGTTGGCATCATATTACCAGTGTACATTGCACTGTTACATACGGCGCTCATAGAAAGTGTTGGGACGCTTGCTTAATTCTGTAACAATGTTGCAACTTTACTGGTTTCATAACAAGTCCATTGACAAACAATGTTTAACATCTGCACATATCTTTCACAGACATTTTCTTTTAAGTGTTTTAAGTTCTTTTCTTTTAAGTGACCCATTCAGTTCTTTTCTTACCCATTTTGTTATTATTTGCAATTGCATCGGCTCCCAAATGGACAGTAAACACTAATGTTTAGTATTTTATGTTATTGCAATGGTGTTTCTAATTAAAAAGCAGCCATTGACACTGCAAGAACTGTAATGTGGGTTTCAATTTATTACTACTTGAAAATAATGTTTTACTTAAAACTACTGATTGTTTCTAATGTAATATTTTTTTTGTAAACAAAAGAATAAAATAATGATTTTGTTTTAAAATCAATAAATTTGCTATATTTGTACTGAAATAAGCAAACGTCCTAAGACTTTCTGTGAGTTCTGTACATTGCCCGCATTTTTTTGCCAGTTGACTTGTATGGTCTGTTTGTACCGTTTGCTTTTATTTGTTATATACCTTCCATTCGTATATCTCTTGCTTATGTACTGTAAACACAGTGTATACTGCAGATTCTTTATGCAATGTATACATTCCTGATCTTATTTATTCTGTTTTACCATTTTTTAATCTATATATTCTTGTCGCTGGACTGAGGAGATTTCCCGCCAGGGGATCAGTAAGTGTCTATCGCCATAATTTCTTTGTCTGACTGCATAACAAAACAGTGCATTTTAACCTAGACCCAAATAGGTCTACTAATATGTGTATTAAATGTTTAAACATGAGATAAGGTCACTTACATATAATATTTTGTAATATATTAGATATCAGATAAGATTCTAAATACAAATAAATAATAGCCCATAAACAATATTAATAATATTTAATAATGGCAAACAAAGGGAATTTTTAGAAGGCGGCATAATTAAATGACAAAGGTGGTAAACTTGGCGACGGGATGGAGGAGATAAATTTTGTTGTTGTGTGGGGGCTGAAAGAACTGGGCCACATACCTGCTTCAGGAGCTGGTAAAATGACAAATGTTACAATAAGTTGGCTTGTCCCAGATTACCCACTAACTCAGGCCAACAGGACTAACCATGCTTATCACATCTTTTAGGCCAAAGACATTGTCACGGTATTGGCCGGGAATAAGACGGAATAGGCGTACAGATGTTCCCTCCGCCCCCCCAGCTCTCCTGAGATCTGTGGCTTTGTGTTGTTTGGCAGAAAATGGCGCGTGTGAATGGGAGGGTCACAGCATTACCACAGTGCTTTGAGGGGAATAGCGCTTAAATGCCAGAGTAAAGGCAACCTTTACCCTTCAGAAAGCCAGAAGGCATTAGCAAACATATAACTGCATTACTGGGTTGTGTGTCAAATTGAAAATTAGCATTTTTTTGTGACCATGACAACTTATCCCCTTTTCAGTCCACAACTTGGAGATGTATCCAAGTAGAAGAGCCAGAATAATGGCAGTAAGTCACATTTAGGTGGTACTATGTTGCTGATCTGTCACTGAACTTAAGTATTGAACCCTATGTGAAGTTAATTAGACTTTTCATTTATTTTCTGGACATTTTGCATATATAGCACACGGTTATCCAAAGACGGTCAGCCAGTTCCTGAAGCAATTGGGAGTTAAGGAGCCTGTTCAGGGTGACATCACTCTGCCAACTGCAGGATTCGAACCAGCGACCTTTGACTGACAGGTACTGCATCCTAACCCACCGAAGCACACACTGGCCTGTTAGGGTTTATAAGGTGGCTCTGTCAGACCTTGTATATGTGGTTTGGAAATTTTTGGGATCCCATTTCTCTTCTTCATTTTGGTTCGTTTGGTGCGTTTCCAGTCCACCACAGTATTTATACATACACATTAAAGACTCAGTACTAAGTCTCCTCTCCGTAAAGTCATGTCAGGGAACCTTGCCTCATAACATCCTATTCAGTTTTATTCGCCGTTGTATATTCGTAGAAGGTTCTGGTACTAGGTATGGCGTTTTACTTATCCTATATCCTACTGTGGCATGCATGTACGTGATGGGACAAAAAAAACCTGCCTGGGAAATATTGTTTACAAATACATACAGAGTAACCACAGTAAACAGGCTCTATCCCAGCCACTCCCCCCACCTTTACTCAGACTAACACACAGAAATCTCTGTCCTCATTAAGGACAGACACACCTAGACATCCCTCACGCCACTGTCATGCTTTACTAATATCAGGCCAAAAATATGTCCACCGAGGTTGCCTGAATTGGGTCATTGACTGGCTTTTTTTGGCTCCCGCGGAAAGAAATCAAGACCTCCAAATAAGGTTGCAGTCTCCTCAAACCACAGATAATGCCCCCCCACCACCACTCTATTTTTATACCTTTCAAAGTGGGTCAGCAGAAAGAGACAAAACCCCGTTCAATGACGTCTGGGTGACTGAAGGGACTAACAGGTGCTCTTTTTTAAAATGTGTTTATTGGTCATATACAAAATAAAGTAAGCTGTATATCAACATACAGTATATACATCAATAAATTAAAGACGCTTCGGACTGATAGTGAAACAGTTAATTTCATGGTTGTTATATACGAATACATCATATTACTTATCTACAGATTGCAAAAAGTACAATAATTTAGTTAATAAATACTTACAATTAAATCAACTTTACCTCTGTGTTCCCCCCATACAAAGCACTGTGATATCATAATTTAACACCCCATACAGAAAAATAACAAAAACCAGTTTTATCATCGTTATTTACCATATTCATAAAGTTACTACTTTTATAGCTTTAAAATTTCTCACTTGATACTTTGGAGACACAAATACCCGACTCTGCAGAGCTAGATAGTCATATGCAGTCATATGCAGTCATATGCAGTCATATGCAGTCATATGCTTACCAACTGACACAGACGTGTGGTTTGATTTTAAAAAAATAAAAATAAATAAAGAACAAATTAAATGCAGTCTGAAGCCTGGATTGCTATCGCCCTAGTCCCAGTGAACTCTCTTCAGTAAAAGACAAACATTACAGTACATCTCACTTGTAATCAAAATTATGTAACATAGTCAAAAGAACTGGATAGAAAACAAAAACGCCATTCAGATAAATATCAGATATCCGCAATAAAAGGGCTTCCATTATCCCACCCCTGTCCAAAACATTTTGCTTCATGACGTTTGGTGTATGTCAGCCCCTCCGAGCACAAAAATTCCACAGCACAAAGTAAAGACTGTTCTAGCAGCAAGATAGGATGTTAATGTGCAGCTACAAGCACAGTGCAGTACTCTGAATCCAGCAAGTAAACCTGTTACCTCAGTCGCCCCGATGAAGAAGAAAAAAAAAATTCAAGTGGGAGCCCAAATTAACACGAGAAAATGAATGAAGCGCCTGGGAGTCTGAGCCCTTTCCCTTCCATATTCAAAAACAAAAGAATAATTCTGTTCATTTCAAATAAGGATTTCAGCTGTGACTGCTAATTATATGGCCTTAAACGTGGTACGGAGCCGCTTGCCTGTTATTTCCTTTAAACACTGACATGAAGATGAAAGACTTGAAGGGTGGGATAACGTTTGGATTTAACTTCTGCTGTCGCATCTTCTCACAGTGGACGCAGATTTCTGTAGGGGCGCACGCCAGATAAATTAGTAATAATACAAAAAATTAATCCATCCATGGTATTCATCCTGCCCCTGTGACAGTGTACCACAAGCTGATGCTGTATGCCTAGAAAAAAAAAATTATGTTCAATCACGCAAAACAAAATTCTGGGGCCAAACAGCTTTCACCTAGTCACATAATTGCAGAACCCTGCAATGACTGGCCAGGACTGATACCTACTCTCCGACCTGCTAGCAAACTTAAAATGTGGAGGTGTCAGATCTGTGCTTCGCGTTCAGAATCACGGTTGTTGCTGAGAAAAGGTTCAACCATGCCAGAAAATTATTTATAGTTATAAGCTAATACACAAATAGTTGTTGGGGGGGGAGGGGGGTTAACTTTTTCTTCCTCAAACAAAGATCTGTTCAGACTGGTATCCATCTGTTGTAGAACAGCTTCTGCCAGAGTAATCCGAGCAACACTGAATTCGAAGGAAGGAGAAGGGATATCAGATAAGCGTGGTGAAAGCAAAGGGATAACAGGATCTGACGAGAGTCACAGATACATAAGCGCTCTGTATAAAACTAGTGACTTCTGTGACGTTTATGACGACACTTATACAAGCACCCAAGCCTATAGTTCCAGTCTCATCCCTGAAGCCCACTGAATTGCATAATTTAAAAAAAAAGAAAGAAAGAAAAGGAAAATTCACTTGTCCACAACATTCACGACGTACACGAGTACACCAACCCGTCTTCGAAGGCACGGGTAGCGGCGATTCGTGTTACACGAGCACTTTGTTTGCTTTTTTTGTTTTGTTTAAAACCTTTACAAGTTGTTTACACAGGGTTCACGCGACAGGACTGCCACGGCAAAAAACAGAACGGCAACACTGATACGAAAGCAATGCCAAGATAGAACATAGGTGGAACTCCATACGAACAATTTCACAGATCACCAGTCAAATGTAGAAGTTCATTAAAAACCCAAAGTGGAAGGGAAAAAAAAAAATACTAACCATATATATATTTATATATATAGATAAACAGGTATAAATCCAAATGTCTCAGGCATCTTTTCCAGTGTTCAAATGCTTAACTAGGGGGCAAAAAAAGCTTGTACTTTTCGATCATAAAAAACCTTGCACTTTTAAATTCATTAATACAAAAATAAACTCAAAAATGCAGTGTAAGTTACGACCAACAGCAAGGCTGCCTTAAACCTCACAGGCAATCTGAGGATGCACTCGGACGCCCAAGTCTGCCACACGCACAGTTAAGGCCAAGCGTCTCAACTTGAGAACAGGATTTCAGGCCCCACTTTCTGGGTCGCCAGGTGGAGCAGCTGACAGGCACACTTGCCATGTCTCAGACTAAACATTTCAAAACCCCCTTTCATCCACCAGTGGGGCTTATGGAGGGACCAGCCTCCCCCAGCATCCTAAGGCTCAGGGGAGTCAAAGGGGACCCCCCCCCAAGGCTGTAGCTTATCCTCAAGGGGAAGGCTCCTTAACACAGTAGCGTGGGTATACAGATGTGTATACAGACACACACACACACACACACACACACACACACACACACACAGTAGCAGTATTTTGACCTATATTTTAATTTCCTAAACAGCCATAAGGATACCGCTCTTCGACAGCAAAAGAGGGACGCGAACTGGAGGGCAGTCATATACAGAGGGCTCACTAAGCCCCCCCCCCCAGCATGGAGGCACACGCACGGCCTCCTTCACACTCCCATCGCCACGCCTGCCTCTGCCACTTGGGACTTAAATTACGCAGCAGAATTGCATCCACATGTTTTCATTCATTTCAATTTCCGAACTCACTTTGGTAAATTAAACCAAAAGCCTGAAAGGAGCAGGGAATGTGACGGAGGGGGGGGACAATGTTTATAGTAGCTGAGAGTGCTGAAGATGCAGGTGTATGTATGGACCTTAGGTTGTGTAAGACTGCAGACAGCAGTCACCAATACTGCACAGCAGTAACTCTCAGAATCCCTACCTCTTGCCATTTTATTTCTAGATTAAATGGACCGTTCCAGATTTAAAAAAAAAAAAAAAAAAAAAGTGCCCCTCTGCATGGGCAGGGGACAGAAATTACATCGAGTCCGTTTGTTTCATTTTACAGTGCAGCAGTGCCAGAAACTCACAAAACCGGCATTTCTGAAACAAAACCAAAAATAGATCTTTTTTTGCATTGAATATATTGAAGAGATTTACACAAAAATAATTCACACGTCACAAAAATAAGTTAAGAGGTGATGTAACTCTGCCCATGGCTTGTCCAGAGAGTGCTTGTAGCTATGTTCTTGTGGTTTTCCTTGTTTTTTTTTCTTATTTTGATTGAGGCTTTAATGGTGGCGTTACAATCAGAAGGTTATACAGACTCCTCCTGCCAGACTACATCAACTGAAAAAGGTTATTAGTGGTTGTGGACCTTAACACAGAAACCAGCATTAATGGGTCAGGGGCCACGCAGACACACTGCAGAGGAGCCCCCAGGGGTGTCCATCGCACTAAACACCAGCGTAATGGCCTTGGGCCCTCCACTGTGCTAAGGCTTCCAGATTTCAGGGCCTCGCGATACGCGCCAGCGAGCAGGGGAGCAGTGAGGTACGGCAGATTCGAAGGAGCAGCTTAGGCAAGACGTTGGCTAAAGCGTAGCGGGCCAGGGTCGGGTCAGGGAGCGACCTTCTATTCCTTGGCTGGAGGAACAGCCGTTAGTACAGCGTAAAGTCCGGGTGTAGCATTCGGCGCTCGGAATTAGCATGTAGACTGCGGTCAGGAGAACAGGGAGGGGGATAGGGGGTGGCCATGGGACCCTGTTTACATCACCTGTAGTTTCTCTAAATTAAAGAACAGCATCACATCCATATAGTGAACAATACTGTCACCTTGTCACTTACACGTCACGCCACGCGCTAGTCCACAGTACGCGCCTAGTCACTAGAAAAAGCTATCGACTTCAATAGTAAGCCACTTTTGGTACAATTGCAAAAAGATATCAAACAAGTTTTTTTTCTTTTTTTTTTTTAAAGATTTTATAAATAATGTAAGATACTCTATGTATTTATAAAAATCAAAACTTGAACATGGACAAAGATCCTCAGAATACAGACACCAATAACTTTATAGTAAAGCTTGAGAATATGTCTATTGGTCAGCCTGTCCCCATTTTTATGACAAAAAAAATGCTATTTTTAAACCTAGCACAAATTAAATAATTGTGACCTCCATCTTTGATGGTACACAGTTGAACAATCTTCAAATTTCTGAAAGGCGTGAAATAGTACCCAACCCTTTTTGAGCTTGTGAAGAACATTCCGGAAAATTGTAGGAACGTCGCTGTTCTCTGCCAGTGAAGGACCAAATACCTCGTAGTTATAGAAACCAGCAGCAACAAGCATTTTTCTCCAATCAGAAAACATTTAACCAAACAAATCCTTTTAGGGACACCCATCATCATCATCATCATTATTAATTATTAATTATTATTATTATTATTATTATTATTACCTGCACATCAACACATTATTGCCCCCCTACTGCTGAATCCTAAATAACACCATTCCAGTCTTTCAAATAGTGGTGCACCCTGTTATTTTCTTGTTTCTGAAGGGAAAACCCCAATCATGCAAACAGTTCTTCTAACCAAAACTTACAATACTATCCTACAGCTGCTGCTCAAAGTCAAAATCCCATCAGCTTTTAACCTTTAGCTCTCCTGAGAACAGTAGGTCAGTGCAAATCACTGCGCACAGGTATTTTGTACGTAATGAATACAGATAGTGATTTTAGCTGAAGCAGTTATGGTGTTTAGTCAGGCGCCCTCCACAAAGAGCGCTACACCTGCAACGCTGTGTACCAGAGTAAGGAAAGTCTTGCAGAAAGTGTCGTTTCACCCCTCAAAGGGTCCATGTGATCCACAAGGAGCCAAGACGAGGCCGTACTGGGATACTGGTGTATTACAGTGTTAAAAGTTGATTGGACAATGTGGGCCGAGGACACATAGAAATACGGCATCGTGAACGAGCTATGAGACAGCTTAGGAACATCACAATCAGGATACACTTGGACCCATATGAACACCACAAGGAAAATAAAAACCGTACAAATGCAAAAAGACATTTTGCGACATGATTTGGCCTGGGGTGACAGCCAGTCTGAGCGGGGTCTAGTCCTCCACTGTCTCGTGGCAGTTAAATGTCCATCGCTTTCAGTGACAGACCCAGGTGGGTTGTTTTGCTGCCCTGGTCTTTTGTCTATAGGTCCCAGCCTCTCTATCTCAGCAGATGTGCAGGTAGCCTGCCAGGTTGATGGTGGGTCCACCTCAAACAGCTTGCCCCCCCACCCCACCCCCATCTGTTGGCTTGTTGGGAGACTGCTTGGGATAGGCTGGGCTTGACGTCAAAGGTAAACCAATTAGATTCCTCCTGTGCTCAGTGATGAAGCACTGACCATGTTCTGCCTGATTAGCTCCTCCCTTCTCTCCCCCTCCCTCCCCTCCCCCTCAACCCCTTCTCAGGCTCGGCCCAGATACTAAGACCGGGCGTCCGTTTTTGACTTGACTATCGTAATGACGCTGGTGGTGGCCACCTTGCCTGGAACGAGAGGCCCGATGACGGAGGCGATGGGGCCTCTGGCGGGGGCCACGGGGCCGCGGGCCACTGTCCTGGCGAAGCTCTGCAGGGCCTCGTACTTGGAGCGCAGAGCGTCCAGCTCCACCTTCATGCTGGCGTTCTCGGAGGCCAGCTTCTCCACCTCGCGCTGCAGCTCGGCCTTCTGCTTCTCCAGCTCCTCCTTCTGCGTGACGCGCTTCACACGGCAGCTGGCTGCGTAGCCGCGGTTCTTCAGCGTGCGCCGCCGCTGCTTCAGCTGCAGGATCTCCTCCTTGGAGAGACCGCGCAGGTGCTGGTTCAGCTCCCGCACCGACATGGTCACCAGCTCGTCGTCCGTAAGGCTGGTCCCATTCTCCCCCGGCTCCCTTTTAACCTGCAGGGCGGCGGCAGCGAGTCAGGAACACGGGAGGGTAAATCCAAGGTCAACAGCTGGAAACAACTTAAAATAGGATTAAAAGATAGGATTAAGATGGTATTAAAACACAGGCAATAGACAGAGTCCTCACTTGCAAGGAGATATTTTCACCTGGTATGTTTAATGCCACCACATAACCACATTAACTGAAAATTACTACTAGTTTAATACTGTCTCTCTCAAAGTTGGGTGCTCCTGTTCTAACTCTGAATGGGATGAACCCCAACGGGCACAGGGGTGTATCCGATGTGGGTATCTGTGTCCTAAAGGTAAGAAGGTGATCCGATGAGGAGACAGGAAACGGAATTCCCAAAGCTAAAACTACTGGTCAGAAGCGTAAAATGAAGCTTACCTTCAAGGCCTTGCTTCCCTTGCTGGTGGTCGTCATGCCACGAGAGCTGCTGCCCACTGTTCAGATCTGGAAAGAAAAAGAGGAAGAAGGTGGAGAAGGTCAAATGAGGGGTGAGTGGGGAGAAGGCTCCATGACACAGAGGACCCAGCACAGAATTCCATGACCCAGGAAGGGTAGAAGGTGGAGATTGTGATTGTGATGGATGGTAAGGCAGTGTGGTCAGGCCTGGTGAGGTTTTGCTACATCCCATCCAAATGTCAGAGGCAACACAACCAGAAACAGGCCAAAGAACATGACTCGTCGCTGCTGTGAAACACTCACAGACCTGACATACAACCGAGCGGCAGACCACCATGGCGGCTCATTGGCGGAACACCCCGCGCACGCACACGCGCACACACACACACACACACACACACACACACACACACACAACCAGTCAGGTCTGTGGTATCAGAAACAACCAGAAGGAGAACGAAGACAGAGAAACGCTCTGGCTTCCTGTTGGCCTTGTGGTGGCAGTGCAGTTCACAGCCAAGCCTGTGAAAACAAAACATCTACCACCGTGTCACTCTATAGGATAATTAAGGGCAGCACAAAATAAACCATGCAAAAAACAGCAGCAGCGAAGGAGGTGTGGCATATCCGGGGTTCTCCGGAGTTCCAAAACAAGTTGTCCATCATATAAGAAGGTGGATTCTATGGCACCATTTAGAATCAACTCAGGGAAAGTCAGAATTGGCCACCTCAGTGTGTTGTATTATGATGGCTTGAACAATGGATCAAAATTATATGATTTATTTCGTATAATGAATTTCGGTTGCTCTATGGCTTTGTTCCTTTTGGTAAGGTGATGACTGGCCATAACTGCCAACACAAAGGTCAGAGCCCCGCCAAAGCACCAGGAACACGCAGAGAACCCAGTACGGGGCCAAGCCAAGTGAGCCGCACAAGCGTGAAAGCAGCCGGGACGATACGACACCTTATCTCATGCAGATCTGTAAGCTGCCGTCTCCCGTTAAGGTTCCTCACAATGAGATGAGCATCCTGGAGAGTTAACAGTCCCTAATGTGCCTCTTTTCCCCATGATATGGGAGCTCTTAGCTGCATTAAATGGATTGATACAGAGCTTCTGGTGGGCAGACAGATCCTGAATACCGAGAACGCAAGCAGGCGAGGGAGAGTGAGAGGGAAGACACCACGAGGCTGTGCAGATTCGCTTGTCACTTTAACTCGTTGAAGTGAGAGGAAGAAGCCCATGTAGAGATAAACGGGAAGCCAACCGTTGCAACCGACACCAAAGTGGAGTCTAGTCACCATGATTCAGCAGATTCCCAGTTCGACACGCTACAGGACATATGACACATAGAAAGCAAAGGCTCGCGATGGCACCCACAAATGCATGGAGACGTTACTTCACCGAATGCCCACTGCAGGTTGGGACAAGAGGAGCATAAGTGAAACAAGCATTCCCAAGATGCAGAACGTGAGCCAGATGCCCCCAGGCCAAGCGGGGGTGTTCTGATGTGGAACAGAGCAACCTGAGTGTATCCTGCCTTATCTGACACCTGGTACTGCTGCCAGTCGAGGAGCCCAACACACACCTCAAACTCCGGGTGACCTCTGTTTGGAAGTCTTTACTCCAACTTCCACCCTAGACTCCTTAATTAACTCAATAGTTTTAATAATTTCCTAAAAAAAATGAATCATATTTGCCTACTGCAGTTATTTCATCATCTGAAAATGCCCCATTTAAATTCTTGAATTTTATGGAAAAACATTAGAGATAAGGAGTGCAGATAACTAATAACTGGCCTGATTAAGCCAGGAGAAATGCACACAAGCTTATGCATGGCCCACAAATTCATTCATTCCTTCACAGTGGGTGCAGCTAAATATCATAACCAATGGTGAAACACCACTGGGTGTTCCCTGGAGGCCTTAAGCTGGGTACACACCAAGCCGATTGCAAAAAAATACTGCCAACCAAGGCCGATGAATGACTGGCTCTCATGCCCTCCTGTCCATTGTGAAAATTTGCACTGGACCACACCTGCATGACTCGAGGTGACAGATGACATGCAAGAGAGCTCAGTTTAACCAACTGGCTTTGATGCAGATTCAAAATTCTGAAAACCAGTCAAAACAGTACCAACAGGACCAACAGTGTCCAACCAGGCTGGTGCGACAGCCAAACTTGGTGTGTTCCAGGCATTTCAGCCCCACAACCATCAGGTGGGTCCTAGAATCACGTTGGACCTGACGTTCTAGGACTCACATGGCACCGGTAGTTCCAGTCCCACCAAGACGTTGTAAAAGCACAACCCCAGCGATGCTTTCTGGAATCGTAGTGTCTGCTGGTTCAACACTTTTGGCTCCTAGCAAGGAGTAACAGCAGATCAAAAGGGTAAACAGGCTGCGGATCTCTGGTTCCCATCTCCCACTGCATCCACTGCCACGGATCCAGAAACCATGCTGCAGGGCTAGATTACATCACAATATACCAAACTTAACTCCAAAGTGACGACCCAGCAATCACATTTCTCGCTTGAATACAACTCTAGCCTATTAACAAACATTTCAGTAGGAAGAGATATGGGATTAACTGAGAAAGACAGAAAGCAAACAGAACAATAAGCATAAAACAGCGACTCCAGCAGGTGTAAACTCGTCTCAGACTGCCCCCTGGCTACACACATTTGATACTGGTATCAGATGGAGCACAGGTCCGCCTTACGAGACACACAGACACCTCACCCCCAGTGAGCGCTTTCACCTCGTCTCGTGTGTGGATAGCAAAGGCAAGGTTGGGAAGGGGGGGGCAGGGGGCCACGGCTATAGCAGACGGGGGTCCGGGGAAGGTGTGAGGAGACATCTTTTGCAGGCGCACGCTGAATTTTTATGAATCGCCTGAAAGAACGCTGACACCTCAGAGCTGATTACTTGTAGAAAAGACATCACACCCACAGGACAAAAAATGCTGAGTGCGATCGCAGGGCAGAATGAGGAGGGAGGAAAACCTTGTTGAAAGTGCATCCTCAACACATTTGGAGAAGCTTAGCAGTTAGGGTTGGGGGGGGTGGGGGGGGGGGTGGAGAAAAATCCCTGATCTCAGCAATGACCACAACCAAGACTCTAATTATAAAGTTCTGAAGTTTAACTAACACAAAGAGACTCAGTTCATCCCCTCTTTAAAAAGCTGCTCTTAACAGGTACAGTAGTTGGGGTAGGCAGGTAAAGGGGGAGGGGTCTGGGGATGGTCAAAAGGAAAGTCAAAAGAAGGAATGGTGAGGTGAACTGTGTCCCGGGGGGGGTCTGTAGGCTCGCGGAGCTGCTGCAGACCCCCAGCGATGTGCACTGGAGCCCAAAAGCCCTTCTCTACTCAGGACTGGCCTTCATGCAGGAAGGATGGTGGGTATTTAACTGCCCTTTATAGTGGGCATTAATCAGCATTATTATTCATCATTTATGGTTAAAAAGGGGTGGGGGCCACATAAGACCCCTTTCTTCAAGGACAAAGCCAAGGCTACATTGCAGAATGTGCGTGAGGAAGTACCTCAAGCAGACCGTGGAGTGACGGCAGGCACTCTGCAAAGAGCAGCATTCGCCTTCGCGATCGGCAAACCCGCGTCCAGCCATCAAGGTCCACTCGCCCAGTGAGCACGCCACAGGACAGCCGACCTTCGCCCGTTCCTGCAAGGGGCTGACACGCAAGCAAGCTCCTAATTAAATCAGATCTTAATTGCACTGCCGGGTTCCCCGTGGCGCCAATGCGCGGGAGCCACGCAGTCCGAAGTGCAGCGGAGCAGCCGGCTCCGGCAGCAAGCCTCAGTCTCGGCGGCCTGGCTGTTTGTACCTGTCAGGAGCGTCTTGAAACTGGAACCAGTCAAGACCTGCAGGAGTGTGCGGCACAGTGGTGTTGCGCAAGACAGAGGAGGTGGTGGGGGGGTGGGGGGTGGGGGCTGGAACACAGGGACAGGAAGAAATGTGCTGTAATCACACCTTTACCGTTGGCCTGACTTTGCCCCCCCCGTCCCACAGTGTTAGCCGTTGAGAAATGTCTACCGCCCCCTAACCCCCAACGCACACACATGATTACAAAGATACAACTGGAAGCTGGGTATGTGGTTAAATAGGCTACATTAATGTGTACTGTGAATCCTGATGGTGCGGTGCTGGGACAAAGGCTCAACCACGCTCCTAAACCAGAACAACCATAACCAGCACCGTAAAACAGGGCAAATCCACACACCCAAGTTAGCCTAGCAACTGAATAACAACAATAGACCGCAATAAAAAGCACCTACCCAGGATTGAGTCTCCCTGGAGGGAGGGACGGTCTAAGTATCACCTTCTTTCGCTTTCCACGAAAGTTGGCGATTAGGTAAACACAGAGCAGCCGCAGCACTGCTCACACGCTCCATTACAAATGACAATACCCAGCACCCCATGTTCCCATGGGGGCCTTCCAGGTAGTTCTTCATCTGAATGAAAAAAAAAAAGCACACTAAATAAAATCATTTGCTTATTCCAGCTTCTTCACGTTATAAATCGGGTCGTGGTCGACAGTTCAGAGGATAGTGTGAATCACAGAGGTCAGGGCAGGCGTACGGTAAGAACAGGGGTCAATGCTCAATTAATTGCCCTGAGCCACCTGCTGCATCCAGTGATAAAGGAACGGTCCGTAAGACTTCCTCTTCACCTTGTAGCCATCCTGAGACCACAGCATTGTCACACACGAGATCTCAAACACATCTACAGCCCGCCCAGTGCAGGGGGAGCTGGTTTATTGATCTAATCCCACCAGCCTGCGCCATATGAAGTAAATAATTAAAACGAGCAGCGATCGCCTTACGACATTTAACCGTGAATTAAGGATCAAACACAAATGATGACTGTGGCAGAGTGATTGGGCCGGTGGTGCGCTGTTAGACAGCATTGTGGGATGGGGAGGCGGGAAGCTATTAACTACTAGGTATTCAGAGCGTGAAATAAGAGTGACAAAGAGAAGGAGAGAAACTGTTTAGAAGCAGTTTTTTTTTTTTTTTTAAATAAAAAAGACCAGCGGTACGTGTTATTAAAATGGGGAGGGGGGGGGGGACTGCACGTTTTCCTCATTTCAGGTACTAAGTGCACGATGAGAAATTTCCTAACACAAGCAAAAAATAAATAAAAAAATGCCGCGTCAGGGGATTGGAGCGGTTTCATTTTAGCGAGGCTCTCCCAGCAAAACAGCATGTAGCTTCCAGAGAGAGCGGGGGGGGCAACAGGGAGACAATGAGAAGGGAACTAAGTGTTTCTTATAAAGCGTACACGCAAAAAAAACAGGTCACCGCAGAAAAACACCACTAAAACCAGGGTGGGGGTGCGGAATAAAAAGACTATAAAGATCAGTTCACAACTCAAGCAAAAATGATAAGTAAATGGGGGGGGGGTGCCTGCAATCAGGAATCAACTTTCCCTCAAAGCCGCCGCCAGGAAGGTACCTCAGGTTCTCCACCTGGGTTAAGTCATCACATTTATACGGCATTTCCACAGAATAATATCATGCCGCCGCACAGTAAAGCACCCCCCCCCCACCCCCCGCTGAAAATGGGGGAAGCGCAGTGAACCTCTCCTCCTCTCCCCCCCCCACACAGGCAGCAGTACCAAACCCGCAATGGCGCACAGGCAAGGGCCCCCCCCACAGCAGCGGCCGTCTGCAGGAAAGCGACAGTTAGCCGAATGAGACTTGGAGCATTTCAGAGAGGACGATGGAGGGGGGGGCACCCAACTGCACGGTTCACCAGCCCTCCCTACTTAAGCATACACTTCAAACAAATGGCGAGTCTTTGCCACTGGAAACCATGACGGGCATAACACCTCTGAACAAGCCTGTTCACATTACAAAACAAACAAACAGAAAGTAAAGCTCTACATGCTTTAGTTTCATAAAACTTTTTAAGCAAGGCACAGGAAAGAGAATATCAACAAATAGCTCCCTTTTGGGGGGGCGGGGGACCTTGCAGCACAACGAAGAAGGTCACTCGTTTTTTGAGACGTCTCTTAAGCTCTGTGAGGTCTCGAGCGATCGATTTCTTTTCAAACTCTGGGCCTTAGCGCTCGGCTGTTGTACCCTTAAGCACTGTACTTAACCTGGAATAAACATAATGTAATGAAAATCAATACATATTACTGTTTTAGATTACCCTTCCGTTAATCTGACAATGAAGTACTGCCAGATTTACCCATTTGTACTAAGTAAACATCCTCAATGGTACAACTACATGTCCCCCCCCCCCAACAAAGAAATTGGCAGATCACACACATTCATCCTTACTCTGTAAGCTGCCCCTTTACAAGTGACACACTCTCTTATATTTGGGTCTTGTGCCCTCTTAATTTGCCCTCCCACCTCAATGATCCACAACAAACAGACCAGTCAGACAGCTCTAACACATTCTACACAGTGAAGAAAAAAAAAGAAAGATGCCGTCATTTCCCATCTGCACTTTCACAGGGAGGGCGTGGACGTGTAACCGAGAGTATGATAGAACAGCCTGGGTACCTGTACCCTGGATTCTCAGCCCACACCTTGGCAGAAGATACTGGAGACCAGTGGGCTTTCTGTTGAAGGGCCTGCAGTTGTTCTGTAAAGCTGTAAAATCATGACACCGCCCTGCACCCGAGAGTGGCTCGGAGAGGGCCGTTTCACCTTCAGTGCCATTACGGTCTCAGTCTCCCCCAAATCCAGAGACGTTTCGGCAAGGACACCATTTTTTAATACGAAACACTAATAGGAGATATGCCTATGGATATCCCACCACAGCTGAACTCGCACCAGCATGGACACGAACACGTTTGGTGCACGGGGGTAACATCACCGCCATGTCCTCCCAACCGTCATCGCGAACGCCCCGACATTAAGACCCTTAAGAGAAACGAAGTCGAACGAGGGAAATTAAATTCATATATGTGTGAGACCACAGAAAGACTGCACACACACACACACATATATACACGCGCGCGTACACACACACACGCAATTCAGAAACGGCCCCACAAAGGAAATCTAACCTGGAAACACACGGATCTTTGCCTCCGTCCTTCTCCGGCGCCACGAAAAGTTGGGATACGCTCTGAATTCAGATCTCCGGCTGCAGCAGACCGGCAGAAAGATGATGCAACCTGCAGACAAAACAGAGCTCTTTCTACCTAAGCCGTCCCTAAGTCTCCAAAAACCTTCCTCGCGAAAACCATTTCCCTCCCCGAGCTTTGCACCGCCACTCCTGTCATAATTTTCGCTATTCGAACCAAAGTTAAATTAAAAAGTAACCGGGGTGAATATTAATCTGCATTTCTGAAGACTTTAAAAGGGGACATCGCGCCAGTGAGACACTGAAGCCCCGTGTTTTATGGTGAGAAGCCTCACTGGATGCGATTAAAATCAGAATAAAATGCCACCTGTGGCGAAAGCATGTCAGTGAAAGATGCCGGACGTCGACTGTCAGACCGAGCGAAGCAGGACGACCTCGTTAATGGCGTCGGTGCGTCAGTGATGCAATGATGTCGCAGATCAGACTCATATTCTGATCGGCCTCCCCGCAGAGCCTAGTTGTCCGGCGATGTTCCCTTACTTTGTGCATGAGAGAATGTACATTCCAGCATGCATACCTGTGCGTATGTGTGTGTGTGTGTGTGGGGGGGGGGGGCTGTCTATAAACTGGCTCTTGTATTCGTTCTCTCAAGGACTCAGACGGGCATAATGACGGTTAACTACCGGCAATGCTAACAACATCAAAAACCTAGAGACCCACCCTGACCATCCACCCCTCCCCTGCCACCAAGTGTGACTATGTACCCTCAGACCAGGGAGTGTAAGCACGTTCAGGGGGGCGGGGGGGGGGGGGGGGCTGAGGGTGCTGTACCTCTCTGCCACCTGTCGTATCGGATGCGGCATGTGGATGTGATGCCCGGTGACCGATCAGCTGTAATGACAGGTGACAATGAGGCAGGGGCTGGTGGCCAGGGAGTGTCATGAAAAATGGGGGGGGGGGGGGGGAAAAAAAAGGGGGGGTGGTGGTGGTGGTGAGGAAAACGCCAATGCCATCAGAACCTCATGGCGGGACGGCTTCAGGAGTTGCTTCTCCACAAGTAACCTGCAAGGGCCCCGCAACGAAGCCCCCACCCGCCCAAAACCCCCACCAGCTACCCACCCACCCACCGACTCCCTGTGTAACGGATTGGCTTTGCTCACGGAAGACAACCGCATCGCCTCTGCTGCTACCGCGCCTTCACTGCTTACAACGTATTTCATCATTATCCCAAAAAAAACCAACACACTCAAGAAAGCCCCCCTCCTCCCTCTATCCTCCACCCCCACAGCCCCCCTTCCTCTATCTCTCCCTCCCTCCCCCCCCCGCCAAACCCTGCGCAGCTTTTCAGTTACCCCCACAGAGCGATCGCTGCACTCCACGAACCCCCCTCCATGGGCAACATTTTAAAACAAGAGGCACAGAGGCAATAATTACCCTGAAACCGTATCTGCTCCATGACACTGGAACGTTAGTCATGCAGAAGTAGCACCAGAAGCCCTTCGCTTTCTTACCCGGTGTTTCATCAACCTTCCTCTCCCCATCCTCCACACACTCGCGCATACAGACACACACACACACACACACACACGCACGCTCTCTCTCCCCCTGCTGGGACCCTCATCCCAGCCAAGGTGTGAGCGCGCTCCGTGCTTCTCTGCGTCCCAGCCCGCCGGCTCCACACACTCGGTGATACATCCCTGCAGATAGTGGCCTTGCATTTCTCAGCATTTGCTGAGTGCTGAGTGCATTTCAACTCATAACAGAGCAGCACGAAAGCAGCTTACCGGTAAAGGACACAGGCTTGCCGCTTGAAGGTTGCCGGTTCATGTCCCAGGAGGGCCTTCCTGTTGTACCCTTAAGAAAGGTACTTAACCTGAACCCCACTGGTAAAATTAGCCTGCTCTATAAAAGACTTTAACTGTAACTTGCACTGGATAAAAAAATGGTTTGGTAAAATAATAATAAAACAAATCTTAAAGTAAGAACGAGGGACACCAAATACACTGAAAGTTAAAACATGCATTCTTAAAATAATTTTAAATGACAGAAAGAGAGAGAAAAACTAAACGTGTGTCTAACGTCCAGACAACCGGCTTGAGTCATTAAATGAACATAGAACGGCCACAAACACCCAGTACCGCTACATAAATACCACCTCTATACAGAGGACCGAACACTTTTAAGAGATCCGGGGGTCTGCAAAACGACACCATTGGAGAGAAAATAAAAACCGAAGGGAGATGGTACGTCGGTATGCCGACACGGAACCTCAGCGGAGCCGAGCGTCCCGGTTCAAGAGCGCCGAACAGGCTCGGTGTTCCTGCCGTCAGCAAGGCCTAATTACTCAGAGACACATAAATAAATAAACAAACCAGAAAGTACCTGTAAAACACAGCGAGTCTTTGGGGTTATACCGAATTATGGTTATTAGTATAACCTTTCGGAAGAGAAGGGAAAAAAACTCCCGAACGATGATTTTTTTTTTTTTTTCCTCTCTCCCCACTTTCCGCCTGGTTGTAACAATAAAAAGGCGCCACGAGGCTGCCGCTCGCGGACGGCGGCGCGGGGGAACGTAACAAGTGAAAACGCCATCTGTCAAGTGCGGAGTCTTTTTCCCTTTACCTCAGCACTTTAGGAAATGCCTTGAAGACAAAAGAAGCTCATTCTCCATCTCGGCGAATCCCACAGACCCCCCCCCCTTTAATAGGGCCACATCAGCAAGAATATCAGTGAATGACACCCATACACAACAGTCAGCACTAAATTTTACAGAACACCGTCCGTACGAAAAGCGCGAGGGGACGCGGGACAGGATGCGTACGCGCCCAAATTAAACAGTCGCTCGAGGTAGCGCGCGGCTACCCCTCCTGCGGCTCCATGTAGCGACGCGGCCGCTTCCTGACGGCCACTGCGGTTCCGAGGTGACCCATCTTTGCACATAGCGTGCACACGCGACTGATGACTGTTTACTAAATTTCTCTCTACATAAAGCTTCCACGAACCACAATCAAAAACACAGTGAATGATGGACGTCTCTTCAGGCTCTTAAGTGTCTGTTGTTTATGCAATGCAAAATAAATGTATTAATCATATTCGTCTGTATTGCCTCTAACCGGCTGACTGCACGCAGCATACAAACATCATATGAGAAACGAAACAAACAGCATTCATATTAACATGCTACACATTTCAAATATCATTTGTGTTTTTTCCAATATAGTGTATATCTTTCTCTCATGGGGTGGGGTTGCTATCAGTGATTATTACTCTACATTACAGAATTCCACCAGTGGTTGTAGGAAGCAGACTACAAATCAAACTCAGAAATTATCCCACGGGAAGAGTAACCAAACCAGTACACTGATTAAGGTCATATCTATAAGCATCTCGTGCAGAAGATTCAAATTACCGTTTGTTGGGGTGGGGGCAAATGGTCAATTTAGAAAGACGTCGGGATAAGAAAAATAAACCAATCTGTTCACTTTCCGTCACGTATGAGAAGGAAGTCTGATTGAGATGTTAGGGAGCCATGCGGTAGTTATTAGAATATCCGATTTTGCTTTTTATTGTGGAGTGGCCACAGCTGTAAAATGGACACAGACAGGACAACAGATGCGTTAGCAGGCACAGACACAGACTGAAATATGGACACACACGGCTTGATCACCTTTACCGCTGAACGCAGCGCAACCCTTTCGGGTGCCTATACGCAACCGGAGCGTGCAATTTCCTACGCTCTGATCCTGATCTAAAGATAGTACCCGGTTATAAACCACTTCTCAGGCACCCCCGCACGGTGGGCTTCCAGAATAAAAAAATCCCCTTAATAAAGATCGATCGCCCCCCCCAGAAGCAGACCTTTGTCCGCCGATGCCATGTTGCCATGGCTCCCCCATGCTTGCGCTCGGAAACGTCAAAAATTTCAACGTTATGATGAATCAGCATCTCCGCCGCTCTCGCCTGCACCGCTACGATCCCCGAAACGGAGACTCATTGGCAGACAAAAAGGCAATTTGAGTTACACATAAGTAGCAAAATATTGTTTTGAGATCATAAAAACTGATACACTGTATTAAACTGGTCATCGGTGACAATTTGCCGACTTCCGTTTAAAAGGAGAAGACTCTTTAGCCGGCAGTCAAAGAGCGCAAAGCGGCCAGGTTCTTCACCCGGAACATGGAGCCGGCTGCCGGCCGGCATGCCGCCCGTCCGCCCGCGGCAGCCGGAGCCCGTCGTGTGGCACTCGGCCACCTCCCGTTAGCCCGCGCCGAGCAGTTCTGCTTTGGTTCCCCACCGTCAAACCCGCCTGAGAAGCACCGATTGCTTCACAACTGTTTTTTAAAAACCATTCGCACCACCGAAACCTACACGTGCCCAAATGGCTTTAATAATAATACTAATAATAATAATAATAATAATAATAATAGCCTAATTCAGCATAAAAGTGACAAGGAGGTTGGCGGTCGGGGGGACCGGAGCCAGTCTGACCTCTATTGTGTTAACAGTGGCCACGGTACGACACGTTCCCCTAATAAAAGTGTTGGCATTTCTGGACACTGAACCGAAAGGATAAAAACAAAACAACAGCAGATACAACACGAGACCAACTTTCCTCGCAGCCGGCAATCTTGCACTTTCTTATAAGGCTGCACGTCGCGGTGACAGTTTACATTCGGCGGTGTCGCTTGGACCCGGAGCTGGGATTCCCCGCATCCGAGCACCTAGCCGCTCCTCCTCCCCCCCCCTCTCATCTACGCGGCCGAAGCGGTCGGTGGGTCCGCCGAGGCGCCCGCGTCCGAATGGCGGCCGATCGGCGATGAATCAGCACGCCCGGCTTCCTCTTCCCCGCACGGCCGGCGTGGTGCCGCTCGCCTGCCCCCCTCCCCAGTCCACCAGACAGTCGCGGCCATGGAGGAAAAAGCACGGGGCGAGCAAAGGGGGAAAAGCAAAGGCGTGCGCACTCAGCAAAACAGCTAGATAACGCATCTGCCTTAAAATAACTAACGCACCCCCCCAGATTACCACCAGCACCAGCAGGCGAAACTGCAGCGCGACTCACCAAACTCAAAGGCAAGACGCAGCCTGGTACCGCCGAGAGGTCCGGAACTCAGCACTTTGAAGTGGAGGAGATCTATTCCTGAGTAATTTGTAAAGAAAAAAAATACTCCCTCGCCTTCTCCTTGTTGATCCCTTTCTCTTGTGCCGGAGCCAGACGTCATATGATGTTTGGTCACATGGTTTCATTCATGAAGGATCTACGCAACTGGCAAAAAAAGACTTAAAGAGACACGGGGGTGCATATTTCCGAGGGAAAGGGCGCATCGTGCCTCCCCGCACCGCCAAACGCGCTCTTTAAAGGAGCAGCCGGTTGACTCTTCGCTTCATAATGAATATTGCAACAAGTTGAGCACAGCAATTAGAATGTGTTGTTTTACTGCATGCAAATTAGGGAAATCAAGCGCTTTTATTTTGGCCAAACCATACTGAATATTGATCGTATGGAGAAGTTGACAATATAAATATAAATTAAATATTCATATTTTATCACTCCATATATTAATTACATTCAGGTCTGTTGCATTTCAATACACCGGATGCATGTGGCTGTATCTCGTTGTGTTGTTTTTTATTATTAGGTCAATAATAATAATAATATAGGAGCAGTACTAGATTACATTTTAAAAGAGAGAAATTCCGCCGCTTATCAATGATACGACAAAAGGTGGTTTTAGTCAGCACTGTCTTAAAGGCGCGCGACGGGAAGCCTGCATGCACACTTTTGCCGTTACAGCACTTATCAGAAATTCCCTAAGGAGGCTGAACAAAAGCCAGCCGTCCAAGATATTTCACAACCAAACAACAAGTGACCTCTACAGCCCAGATTAACTTGGATAATGTCTGCAAGCTGCGACTTGACCCTCGTATATGATCCGTATAAGGAAGGAAATGTAGCAAAAGAAACAGCGGCGTGAACGATTGTAGTAGAGATACAATAAAATGCTATATAAGCGAATCGGAAACCGTATATTGTAAAAAAAAACAAAAAAACACGCGCGGCACTGTAACGTAGTTATTGTGTCAAGCTTCTGCACTAGACGCACTTTTTATTATAACTAAAACAACGATTCTGTACGGATCTGTAATACAAATGATACATACACCGTCATGTTTGTTTATTTGGGGGTGCATTTAACTGACATTTTACTTGAGGGAGAACTTTCACTGAAAACCATGCTACTTACGATCACTGTGCTGTATGGAGAACTCAAGTAACTGAGTGGTTACCGTCCTTGTATCGTCCATCCATCCATCACCCAACCGCTTATCCTGGGAAGGTTCACAAATCAACCCCGGGGAGTCCCGGGCACAGGGTGAGGGTTACAGTCCGTCGCAGGGCACATACATGCACATGTTCACATACTGCAGGCAAATTATGTCATTTGGCCCAAGTGTCTCTGGACGGTGGGAGGAAACTGAAGTACCAACAGGAAACCACGTACAGTGACCACCACTCAAAATACTTTTATTTCTTTTGTCATGTGCTTGAATGTGACACATCCATCAACATTTAAACTAAGCATCTTGTATAAAATAAATGTGTCCTGTAATGATTTCAAAATTTGCCTTTTTGTTATTTTTTAATGACCTTTTTGTGCAAACGTATTATCATTTAAACGGGCTTTCTCACGACTCTGGCCTCATCTGGAGTAAACGCTGCGGGGGGCCATTTGTAATAAATGCTGGATTTAAAAAGGTATCAGGAAAATCATTTGCTGACCCCGAGGGCCCGAGGCCCTGACAGCGACCGAGCCTCGGTGCTCATCCTGCGGACCATCGGATCTGATAAGCGACGGGTTAGGAGGAGGAAGCCACAAACTATTATTGACAGCCGCCAGAGGGAAACGGATTGTCCTTAGCGACCGCAAGCCGCACGACAGGCATAAAAATAGCAGCCAGGGGGCTGTTCCGACTCCCAGTTTCTGGGCATTTCAATATGACCGTAAATCCACGTTTCACCCTCCCGTAGCGCAGCACCTGTAAGATGCAGAGGGTTATATCGCACACAATATCTGCAGCGACCGACGGGAAGGGGCATCCGGACGATTTCAGCCGAACACACCTCCTGGCACGATAATCCGCAACAAATAACGAGGCAACCATCAGCAGAATAGACGGTACAGCCTACAGGAGACCTTCACGTCGCCCCTTTTCCCTTCAGGTTTCAGTAAGCACACGGCAGTGTCGATCACCACCTGCGACACGTCCTTTGTCGGCTGTTTACTAAGAATCGTGCCCCCAAAGCAGAGGTAACACGCAGCTAATGTTACGACGTGACAGCATCACGGTTGAGGGAGACAGCGAATGCCGTCACTTTAACGCTGGGGCACGATGGGAGCCGAGAAACGCTGATATGACCCTCAACTCGTGAGTCAGAAAGATTTAAATAAAAAGGAATGCCGACTTCAGTCGACCTTCTGCAGCCAGGCTATTTATACTGCGGCTGCTGGCCTGTAATTCAGGATCCAGCCCCTCCGAGCTGTAATATAATCTGCTTTTTTTCCACAAGAGGTCCACGATTGCAGGCCGGTGGACGTGGCACGTGCCAGGCGCCCACCCGCCCCGAAGGGGTGCAAAGGGTTGAGCTTCAACCGAGTAAGGAACGAGAAAAAAAGAGAGGATCTTTTTGTCATTGCGCCAGGTATCCTTCCATTTTCGAAAACATCTTGCATCATGCTCCCAGCTTGCTCTGGCATGTGTATTAAGTGCGGTGCCTCCGTCTGCATGGAGCCCACCTGCAATGGTCTGATTTAGGCAGAGGAGAATGTGGCACCACCGGCTTTAACCGCTTCACAGCGATTCACCGTGTAGCTTCCTGCTAAAGGGCTGCGAACAGGTGCTTGTGATAGACCTGTTGGAGAGAGCGTTTCTTATAGGAAAAACTAAAAGGCGCCCATTCAAAAAGGCCCAGATATATCGCCGGTATTACAGTAGAGTTCGGGCGAAAAATAAATGGGGCCGTTAGTAATTTTCTAAATCGTCATTTTTATGTAAACGCTTATACGCAGGCGGATGTGCGCTCTGCGGGTGTGAGACCTATCCAACGGTAATTTGAAGGCCGTGGGGCCATTGACTGGGCACCGGCACCCAGGGAACCGGCGACGGCTTTAAAACCGGCAACAAAGCATCGGTTACGTTTAGAGACAGGATAGCAGCCGCGCCGGAGGGATCGGCTGACCCCGATCGCACATGGGAAAAGTGACGCTCATCTTCCTGACCCTCTTTCTTATTGCCAGACCCTCGGCAGACTTGCGAAGCGCACGATTGACAAGCGCCGCGGCTTCTTACTTGCCGCCCGGAATAAAATGCAGCCCCGACAAAAGCGCGCCGATGCCGGGACGTAATGAGAAGCAAATGAAAGGTATTGGAGGCCGGTTTATCTGAGCGGCGAGCGTCGCAAGCCAGTGGAGGATAACCTTTGGAATAAAAGAGGGATTACCGAAACACTTCATCGGCTCCCTCAAAGACCCTCTCGGGCACACAAACAAACAGCCGAGCCCCCGACGCAGCGCTGCCTATTAAATGGCAGGCTGGGGCTGGTGATGTGGGTCTGAAATCAGAATAAATCCTGCTGCCGCTTGTCATCTTTTGAAAGCTCACGGGAGCATTGTGCTTCGCGACGGAGGAAAAAAAAAAACCTCAGTTTCTTAAAACTTTGGTTTTAAATATGCACTCACATCCCGCAGGTCTAGTTATCTGGACCACATAGGCGCTTCCAGATCACAGGCGCAATTAACATGCGAAGGTGCGCGCTGGAGCGCCGGGACGTTTCCCGGAATGTTAGTTCAACATAAGTCGTAACTGGCGGCAAAGTGGCAGGAGAAATAAGATTACAGGAACATCGGGGCTTGAAAATAAGTGGGAAACTTTCTCTTTTTTTTCATTTTGTATTTTACATTACACCCCACGTCTGGTCAAAATGCTCATATTGACTGCGTAATTGTGGGAAGGCGCCGCTGTCTAACAGTCATGCCCAGGAACGGCCCGCAGATCATGTGGCATGAAACGCAGGCACAGATGTCAAAGTCACCGGCGTCCCTACAGCACATCAGTGACTGTCACTAGCAACCAATGGTTGAACCAGTCTCTATGGTAGCCAGGAGAAATATCTACAAACGTCTATTTTGGGCTGGTTTGGCAGTGCAGTATTTTGCCTCTGAGTGACAACTGTACTGCTTTCATGAGACATGCCTAGTGGGAATTTGGCACGCGTATCTGCATCTCCAGTGGGAATTTGAACAACATTTTCATCTGGATAAAGTGTAAGCGTTACTATGTATA